CTTTTAAACAACTACGAAACACAAAATTTATTTTTCCGTTACCGCTTCTTACGATTCAACAAATCACTCGAAAAGAGTTTTGATTATTTTAAAAAGTATACGTCTATACTCGTAAAAAGAAATTTACTTTGTCTAAAGTTAAATAAGATTCGTCTCTGATAGCACATTAAGTGCTTGTAAACGTAAGTCACGCAATACTTGAAAGCTTGCGAGCTTATAATATTACATGAAATTTCTGGGAAAGCTTTTATCTCGAGCATTCTGTTTCATTTCAGCATAAGCCGACGAAATGTTGACCATTTTTCTTAGATTCAAACGTAGGATAACCGTGACTCACAGACAACGTACCGAATAAATTCGCCGTTATATTGCAAGATCCAGAAGATATATGTTCACGGTGCAAAGATAGATACATAAAAGTGGGGAAATGGCATTTGTTCTGAGCAAATTTAGTAATATGAAATATAATATATCAAGTTTAGGTTGGTTTGATCATCAAAAATCTTTCTATGCATAAATTTTAAAATCACAAAATTATATATATGATTTTTTTATCTGTATATTATTAGCTACATTCATTTTACATTTGACTAGTATCTAACTGGTAGTATCTTACATCTGACTAGTATTAATATAGTATTGTCTGCAATATTATCTATTATAAATTATTATAATTTATGTGTTTCAAATTTGGAATATTATAAATTTGTTTAGCCTATAATGTTATGAATTTGCTTAGCTATCAATATTAGAAAATACTTATGAAAATATCAGTATTTCTAACTAGTATTAATTCATCAAAATTCTAGTATTTCTAATTGATATTAATTTGTTAAATTTTCAGTATTTTTTACTTATAACAATTTATCAAAATACTAGTATTTTTGTTACTTGTAGTAATTCATTATAATTTCAATATTTCTAACTTGTGTTAATTCATCAAAATTCTAGTATTTCCAACTGATAGTAATTTATGAGATTTTCAGTATTTCTTGCTTATAATAATTTATCAAAATACTTGTGTTTTTTGTTACTTGTAATAATTCATTAAATTTTCAATATTTCTAACTAGTATTAATTCATCAAAATTCTAGTATTTCTGAGTAGTATTAATTCATCAAAATTCCACAATTTCAAACTAGTATTAATTTATCAAAATTCCAGTATTTCTAACTGATATTAATTTGTCAAAATACCAGTATTTCTTGCTATTAAATTTTTCTTCCTCACCAATTAATTTCTATCACATTTTAAAATGTGCAAACTACAGCTACACTATATAACAGAAATACTACAATATGTATTTCGACATATACTTCTCAGAATTCTGATTAACTCCATTTTCCAAAAACTGTTCATACCAAGTATAATAACGCAAATATTTGAAACAATTCCTACTGCACATACTTTTACAAAATTTCAAGAACACGCCTTCGAGTACAAAAATAAAAAACAGTGCCTTTACTTCAACGAAATATGAATAAAGTTCAAGAAAAGAATGTATCCACTATTTCAGTAGTCTCAGAAAATAAATATACTTCATAAAAGAATTTTAAATGTCAAGATAACTTATATGCTTTCGTATACTCCAAGCTGATTTAATGGAACAACATGAAGTTGATTAATATTGCTGCAATATGTTTATGCGATCATAATGTATCAAAGAATGCAGATTATATAATTGCGCATGGAAACGAATCATATGCTAAATCATTCATTTCAGCGGTATAAAATCGCAAGTGCGATTAACGTAAGCAATTAATCATTTAACACGGCCTGAAATTCATAATTAAACTTGTAAATTTAACGGTTAAACTACGTTTAATAATTAATGTTATTTAACACGTTTTGAAATTAACAATTAAGCTTGTGAAATTCACAGGTGGATGTTTATTAATTAATATTATTTAGCATATCTTCAAATTAATTTCTAGTAAGTCAAGTTAAGAAGTTATTGTATTAGTTTAAGTGTGTTTAATAATTTACGACATTTCACACATTTTGAAATTTGGAAGTAAACTTGTTAAATTAATAATTCAAGTATGTTTGGTAACATCATTTAACATGCTTAGAAATTAGAAATTGAATTCGTTAAATTAACAGTTGAAGTACATTCAATAATTCACGTATATTTAACACATCTTGGAATTAATAATGTAACTTATTATATTAATAGTTAAACTACATGTCCAATAATTAACATTATTCTACACACCTTGAAATTAACAATCAAGCTTGATAAATTAATAATTAAACTACATATCCAAAAATTAACATTATTCAACACACCTTGAAATTAACAATCAAGCTTGATAAATTAATAATTCAACTACATATCCAAAAATTAACATTATTCAACATACCTTGAAATTAACAATCAAACTTAATAAATTAACTCTTGAACTACATACCCGATAATTAACATTATTCAACACATCTTGAAATTAACAAACAAGCTTGATAAATTACCAATTAAACTACATATCCAAAAATTAACATTATTCAACACACCTTGAAATTAACAATCAAACTTGATAAATTAACAATTAAACTACATATCCGATAATTAACATTATTCAACACACCTTGAAATTAGCAATCAAACTTGATAAATTAACACTTAAACTACATATCCAATAATTTAACTCTTAAACTACATATCCAATAATTAACATTATTCAACACACATTGGAATTAACTTAATTCATACATAATCACATATATATTTGAATAATTTAGTTTCATCATAAAAAAAAAGAATTATTTTACTTCCTTATCCACATCCTATTTTTAAATCCTATTTTAATCGAGAGTTAAAATTTGTCCATATGAAGTTTTGTTCGCATATGAAGAGGCTTTAACCTGTCGATACCTATCGATACCGATACTCACATCTCTATCGTGAACGTTGAAAATAAAAGTGGAACATCAAAGAGAAAACTCTCGAGACAGTAGTAAAAAGCTCGATCACTTTCAAGGAGATCTCAAATCACCGGTTAAGCCCGAGGGGGATAAAATAAGCAGGTTTCAGACCTGGTTGTAAACAGAGATTCTGAAAGAAACCTTAAACAAGGTATTTGGATCGATGGAAAGTGCGATAGAACTTTTAGCAGGTGCATATAGGACTGCGACCATTAATCTTCCATTTTGTGAGTTTGATGGCTTCGGAATTTTTGTGTTGGAACATTTTTAGGTTTAGGATGGAAGGATTAGAATGGAATTTTTTAAATTTTCAAGATTCATTGCAAATTCATTAATCGGAGATTTATAAATTTAACAAATTGTCAAATCCCAAATTTCTACATCTGCTAATTCCCAAGTCCCAAATTTCTACATTCCCCAAATCCCACATTCCTAATTCCCACATCTCCAAATTCCCAAGTCCCAAATTTCCACATTCCCAATTCCCAAGTCCCCAATTCCCAAATTCCCAAATTTCCACATTTCCACATTCCCCAAATCCCACATTCCTAATTCCCAAGTCCCAAATTTCCACATCCCCAATTTCCCAAATCCCCAAATTCCCAAGTCCCCAATTCCCAAGTCCCCAATTCCCAAGTCCCCAATTCCCAAATTCCCAAATTTCCACATTTCCACATTCCCCAAATCCCACATTCCTAATTCCCACATCTCCAAATTCCCAAGTCCCAAATTTCCACATCCCCAATTTCCCAAATCCCCAAATTCCCAAGTCCCCAATTCCCAAGTCCCCAATTCCCAAATTCCCAAATTTCCACATTTCCACATTCCCCAAATCCCACATTCCTAATTCCCACATCTCCAAATTCCCAAGTCCCAAATTTCCACATCCCCAATTTCCCAAATCCCCAAATTCCCAAGTCCCCAATTCCCAAGTCCCCAATTCCCAAATTCCCAAATTTCCACATTTCCACATTCCCCAAATCCCACATTCCTAATTCCCACATCTCCAAATTCCCAAGTCCCAAATTTCCACATTCCCAATTCCCAAGTCCCCAATTCCCAAATTCCCAAATTTCCACATTTCCACATTCCCCAAATCCCACATTCCTAATTCCCACATCTCCAAATTCCCAAGTCCCAAATTTCCACATTCCCAATTCCCAAGTCCCCAATTCCCAAATTCCCAAATTTCCACATTTCCACATTCCCCAAATCCCACATTCCTAATTCCCACATCTCCAAATTCCCAAGTCCCAAATTTCCACATTCCCAATTCCCAAGTCCCCAATTCCCAAATTCCCAAATTTCCACATTTCCACATTCCCCAAATCCCACATTCCTAATTCCCACATCTCCAAATTCCCAAGTCCCAAATTTCCACATTCCCAATTCCCAAGTCCCCAATTCCCAAATTCCCAAATTTCCACATTTCCACATTCCCCAAATCCCACATTCCTAATTCCCACATCTCCAAATTCCCAAGTCCCAAATTTCCACATTCCCAATTCCCAAGTCCCCAATTCCCAAATTCCCAAATTTCCACATTTCCACATTCCCCAAATCCCACATTCCTAATTCCCAAGTCCCAAATTTCCACATCCCCAATTTCCCAAATCCCCAAATTCCCAAGTCCCCAATTCCCAAGTCCCCAATTCCCAAATTCCCAAATTTCCACATTTCCACATTCCCCAAATCCCACATTCCTAATTCCCACATCTCCAAATTCCCAAGTCCCAAATTTCCACATTCCCAATTCCCAAGTCCCCAATTCCCAAATTCCCAAATTTCCACATTTCCACATTCCCCAAATCCCACATTCCTAATTCCCACATCTCCAAATTCCCAAGTCCCAAATTTCCACATTCCCAATTCCCAAGTCCCCAATTCCCAAATTCCCAAATTTCCACATTTCCACATTCCCCAAATCCCACATTCCTAATTCCCACATCTCCAAATTCCCAAGTCCCAAATTTCCACATTCCCAATTCCCAAGTCCCCAATTCCCAAATCCCCAAATTTCCACATCCTCAAATCCCACATTCCAAATTTCTACATCCCCCCATTCTTAAATCCCAAATTTCTCCATTCCCCAATTCCTGTCTCCCAAATTCACCCCTCAAATTCCCAAAGCAACTTTCAAAATCAACCACAGAAACGAAAATAGAAAGCATCGAACGTTACCCGAGAGGAAGTCAGATTTGTTCCATAGCGTAGAAGGCTCGAAAGATACGAAACAGAAAGGAACAATGCTAGTCTGTGTCGCACGCAGACTGCGACAGTGTCGCCGCACACTTGGAAAGCTGACAGATCATTTTACACGAACACATTGTGCGCACTCGGCTCCTCTGTCTGGCCACCCTTCTGCGAAAGTGAATGAGCACGAGAGGGTGGTAAAAACCGAGCTAAGTGCTATATCGCCAAGTTGAATTAAAGCGACGCAGTCCAAGGAGTTTCGCCTTCTGTTAAATGAAATGAGCCACTGTGCGAGTTGCTACTTCACTTTCGAATACGAATGTTGCCGACCTAACTTCGCTACGAGCCAAAACTTTTGTCGGATTCGATATAACTGTATTTGATAAGAACCTTGTAAGTGTTATTAAGTTTGAAAATTATTTTATGTGTTTGACATACATTTTATGTTAGACTTATATTCAAGATAAATTAAAGATATATTTAGATATAGATTATATATTAGAAATATATTTAACATATGTTAGAGATGTATTTAACACATGTTACACATACGTATATTGCACATATATCTGACATGTATTTAACAAATATTGTTCGTTACATTATATGTGTAGATTTATAGAATACATGTGATAACATTTAATATCTGTGATAAAATTATTTTCATCAGGGATTATGAATGACTATAGCTGGTTTTTGAATATTGGTAACTATTGTCACTAACAAAAATTAATTTAGGGGTAATCATCGAGTATAATCAAAATTTAATTTTTATTAATTTTACTTTTACTTTTATTTGTTCATTCAGTTCACAAATGACTGAAATTTTTGCAATATTGATGATGATTTTTACTACTGCTAAATAATGACAATAACAGATAAATTATAATAATCAAAATGAAATTGAGATAATGGGACTACACCATCCCGAGATTCTAATAAAAACATTTTAATTAAATAACTGATATTTCTTAAAGCATCTGTAACACGTTAACATTTGTAACTATAACATCTGTAATTTTTATTACAATTTTTATATGCAATATTTAAAATATTTAAAATAAAACTTTCACAATGTGCCTCCATAATATTTCGCAAGTAACTGAATCTAAATGTTTCAAGTTTAAATATATAATTTCTATAAACGACTATATTTAACTGCACAGATCTGCGAGTTAATTTCAATCTCGTTAATTTCCTTTGCCTCTATTAATTTCCTAAAAGTTCCGTGTGTTTAACTTCTGGCTGCAATTTCACTGTAACAGAATCTTGCATTAAATTCGTCGCAGGGTATGTTAATAATGCAGTATTTATTCAAGTTTAGGAGTGCAAAATGCCCCAAGGAAGTATTCATTGGCAAGGGACGCAGAGAAGAGCCTGCGCTCCAGGAGCACACTGGAACGTCCAGGTATGTTTGAAACTTCCAAAACCTCGAAAATTAATGTGCTATTAACAGTGTCACTCTATTTGGGTTTGTTTCACCCGAAACTAACCTTGCACGTTCATAGACGTCGTGTTTAGAACCAGTTATTTTAATCTCCCACGCTTCTAATCTAATTTACATTCTTGATTTTGAAATATGTGCATGTTGTGAATACATATTTTTGTATTCTTTTTAGGGTGCATTTTCTGATTTTTAAATAAGGACTAATAAATTCTGATTTGTAAATAAATAAGTAATTTATGTTAAAGGAGCAAAATCTAATTAATGCTAATTGGCATTTCAGAAATTGAATTAAATTAGGAAATGGAGTTGTCAATTTAGAAACATGATTTTGTAATAGAGAAGTGTTGCAAAAAAATTTTTAATTTAATATAAATATTAAGTTATTCGATATTCATAATTTCATAAATTTTTTTGATAATACGTTTGATGATAATAAATAATATATCAGAGTGAAATTTGTGAATTGCATGCTTGCATATTTGCATCAGAATATTAAGAATCATTAATTATTCAATAATTGTTTTTAATACATAATTGTAACTTGTAATTATAATATCAAATTTGATGAAATATTTAACAGAAAATTAATGAACAAGTGAGCTAATAATTTAATGAATTTTAATTACGAAATATAAACCTTGCAAATATAATTGAAATTTTTAATGTAATAAGTAATATGATGTCTAGAATAAATTAATGAATGAACAGTATAATCTTATTGACACAAGTTTTAATTAAAAAGTATACTTTTTAAAAAATTAATGTGGTCACAAATAAACAATTATTTAATAAGTATAATTTTATAAGTAAAATTTTGTAAGTAAAATTACATTTATTAAATAATGAATAGAATGTTTAGAAAAAAATAGGATTAATGAATGAACAATATGACCTTAATCAAACAAGTTTTAATTAAAAAGTATAATTTTTTAAAAAATCAACATGGACACATACTCAATAATTTCACTTATTATGATTATAAGTTCAATTATGATAAAAGTATAATTTTTTAAAAATCAACATAGACACACAATCAATAATTTAACTTATTATAATTACAAGTTAAATTCTAATGAAAGTATGATTTTGTTAACAATCAACATGGACACATAATCAATAATTTAACTTACTATGATTATAAGTTAAATTATAATAAAAGTATAATTTTGATAAAAATCAACATAGACACATAATCAATAACTTAATTTACTATAATTATAAGTTAAATTACAATAATTTATTATTATTATAATTGTAAACTTATAATACTTGTAACTAATAATTATTAACTAACAACTAAATACGTTATTCAAAAGAAAATAGAATTGTTCCTAACCTAACCTAATTCCACAATAGAATTGTAGAACCTAACCTAACTTAACCTACCCAAACTTTAAAATGTATAACTGTAGACATGGAATTTTAATACAGATGTCGAATCAGATATGTTATAAATATCCTCGTGAAGTTATAGGTGCTGAGATTTTCGAGAGTAAACCGACCATTTCATCTGCAATAAGCTAATAAATGAAAGTCCGTCTGTTCAAACAAACGGACATAAATATCATACCTATATTTGCGATACGAGAACAGATATATTGACGACGATAAAACAAACAGAACTCATATTTTGCGCGAGGAAATCCAGCACAGAATTTCGCGAAAACAACGATAAATTCATACTTTGTTTACGGGATTGATAACTGGCGTGCAACGAAAGTGCGAATTAATTTCACAAAGAATGTATTTATTTAAATATGTATTAAGGGAAATTCTCCTATTTTTATCTGTGCTTCGAATTGGATAGTGCACCGTGAAAAACACGATTTGCTTTGGAACAAAACATTCGGAGCTAAAAATACACATCAAAGTAATAATATCGCGATGCCGCCAGTTCAGAAACATCAAAGAAACTCCGCGATGCTTAAAAATCACGGAATCGAATCGATAAACAATTCTGTGAAGTTCGAAAACTGTTTTTGAAACTATTGACAACGTGGAGAGATAAATTGCTGCAGTTCTACAAATTTTGTGAATGAATTCTTCTGGAAAATAAAACACTTTGCGTTCATTGGAAGTGCAATTCAACTTCAAACAAATTTTGAAATTTTGAATATTTTGTTTAAATAAAATTTAATGAAGCAAGGTTTATTTTGACTAAACAAAGTTTAATGAAGTAATGTTTATTTTATCCAAATCAAATTTAATAAAGCAGGGTTTATTTTATTCAAACAAAATTTAAATAAGCAATGTTTATTTTATCCAAACAAAATTTAATGAAGTAATATTTATTTTATCCAAATCAAATTTAATGAAGCAGGGTTTATTTTATTCAAACAAAATTTAATTAAGCAATGTTTATTTTATACAAATTAAATTTAATGAATAATATTTATGTTATACAAATAAAATAAAAAATTTACACTAAAATGCTCTTTCTAATTCAATTTATCAAGGTATAATTATAAAAGTGTAACAACATATTTATTAACTTACTATAAACTCATTTTAACTACATACTTATTACTTTACTATAAATTCATTTTAACTGCACATCTATTTCGTATTTATTATTATATTTATTAAACAAAGTTCATAATAAAAAAACAGAAAGAGTTACAAAATGATCAATCATTATATTACTGTTTACAAATATCATGTATCTATCACAATATAAAATAATAATTTAAAGAATCAAATTTCTGTACTATAATTTAATAATCAGTAATTAATGGAAACAATTAAATAAAATAGGTGGTGAGAGGCAAAGTGACAACGCGGTGCTTGTGGTACGCCTGCAAAGCTCTTGGACTTGGTGTACTACTAATGCTTTTAGGAACTTGCATGGCAACCATAGGTGAGTAGAACATCAAAGACTAATAAACACGCTCGTCCATTAACCTTACAACCGCTATGATCAACCTACAAACGGTTTCGATTAATCTTTATGTACAGTATCATGTCCTATGGGTATTTCTCGTGTAACAGCATGTGTGTTGAATAGTAGAGTGGGGGTAATTGGTGGTACATGATATTCAATATGAAATGATTGGTACAAAATGTTGAGTTAATTGTAAGGAGATGAAAGTAGATGGATATGCTCTTAGTATATTTGGGAATTTGGGAATTTGAGAATTTGGGAATTTGGGAATTTGGGAATTTAGGAATTTAGGAATTTGGAAATTTGGGAATTTGGAATTTTGGAATTTTGGAATTTTGGAATTTTGGAATTTATATATTTTAGAACTTTTACATTCCCAAACCTTCAAATTTCTAAATTCCTAAATTTCTATATTTCCAAATCTTCAAATCGTCAAATTTTTAAATTTCCAAATCTTCAAATCCCCAAATTTTTAAATTTCCAAATTCTCAAATTCCCAAACTTCTATATTTCCAAATCCTCAAATCCCTAAATTTGTAAATTTCCTAATTCTTAAATCCCCAAATTCCTACATTTCCAAATTCTCCAATCCCTAAATTCTTTAATAGCCAAATTTCTACACTTCCAAATCCTCAAATTTTCAAACTCCTATATCTCTACTTTCTCAAATTCCCAAATTTCCATGCTCTAAAATCCCCTATTACTCCTATCCCCAAATCCCTAATTTCCCTAATCTCTATCTCCCAAAATCCTCACAAACCTTATTTCCCATTTCACCAATCCACGAATTTCCACATCTCCAAATCTCTATCTACAAGCATTTGAGTCTTAAATTTCTCTAACTAACTCTAAATTGTCATTTAAAAATTAAAAATTTGATAATTCTATATTTTTAAATTTCCACATGTCCTCTTCTCTAAATCTCCAAAAAAATTTTCAATTTAATCCTCTACCTTTTTCAATTACACTAAAGCATTTTATAATGAATTATTATATTAACATGAATTATTTAAAAGCATCATGTACCAATATCATTCACAGTCACCAACATATTAAACTATTGCCTTATCTCAAGGTACCTGAGTCAGCATATTCATTTTTAATCCCCTACCTTCTACAATTATATTAAAGCATTTTATAATGAATTATTATATTAGCATGAATTATTTAAAAGCATTATGTACCAATATCATTTACAGTCACCAACATATTAAACTATTGCCTTATCTCAAAGTACCTGTGTCAACATATTCACATGTACACGTATCATATAGGATACTTCGCAGATCAGCTATCAGAGGCACAAGAGATCAGAGGTAATCTAACAATAAGAGTGAAGAATGAATCACGTGGATTCCATTTAAACAACCTCAGTTATGCCGGCCCCATTGTGATGGGCGTAGGAGGTAACGATAACATTCGCACATTCTGTTATGCCATTTTATACTTCCTAATCTACGTATTCTACGTACGCCTCGTAATCTAAGTATTATCACAGTTATTCACCGTTCAAAATAACATCGATGAATAGCAGATATTGCATTTTGTAAATGTCCGCTGGCAAGGTCACTCGATGTTATAAATTTTGGAATATGCATGAATCATAGCGATAATTTTCGTTGATATGATTTGCTAATCGCTGTGATGTATGCTGTTAACGCTGTTTGCTGTAACAAATATGTACATACTTTGGTTATTAATGTTGTTTGCTATTTGTGGTTCTAATGTGTGCGTACTGCATTAATATTAATGTTTGGTGTTCGTAGATAGGAAATTATGTATATTTTTTTGTTTTAATATTGTATTATTTGTGGTTAGGTTAGGTTAAGTTAGGTTACAGAGATATACGTATTTTATTCATTTTCATAGCTTTTTTGCAAAGATACATTTTGCTAACTTTAATGTTTATTATTTATAAAAATATACTTATTTTATTCATTTTAATGTTTGTTATTGGCAGTTGTACATTAATTTTTTAATTTTATATTTTTTGAAGCAAATGAAGTTATATTATTATGCATTACAATTTTTAAAGATATTCTATGCAGTTGCAAAGATATACCTATTTTATTAATTTTAATTTTGTTTGCTATTGGCAATTGTACATTTCAGTAATATTAGTAATTTTAATTTTTTAATTTTATATTCTTTGAAGTAAATGAAGTTATATTACATATTACAATGTATAAAGTCCTATATAATTAATGAATTTTCAACCGAAAGCTGGCAGCAAATCAATAAATTATGCAGCATGTAAGCGCATGTTAATCATGAATATAAATGAAGCAGTATTATGTTCCCTGTGTAACACATTTTCGTAATATATTCTTTGGAAATATTATTCGATACAATCTTTGTATTCATACAAATTTGTAATTACTGAATGAAACTGCATGGTTTCAATTTAAAAGAGATAAAAACTATAGAAGAGAATTGTAACGGTAAAGAAAGTGGGTTGTAGAGTGTTATCGATCGAAACTGGAATTTATATAGGATTGAAAAATAATATTTAACTATTCTTTTTAACGAGCATGCGGGAGCAATGTATATTTTGAGAAAAAAATTGGAAAAAAAAGATTGCCCCCAGAGAGATTTGAACTCTCGACCCCTGGTTTACAAGACCAGTGCTCTAACCCCTGAGCTATGGAGGCTTCACGATAAACGGAATCTTGTAACTCCATATAACGTGAAACACTACTTTTTCCACTTTTTTAAATGTTTTCATTATTATACACATCAACAATTACATTAAACATTAATAATTTCTTTAATCGTAAATAAAATAATATACTTTCTTTGCAACTCATATTAGTTTAACAACACGTTTTCTCTTGAAAACCTTTGTTCAAATGAATTGGTAAAAATTTTTGCAAATTAATAAATGTATCAATTAAGAAATTGAATTAGTTATTTAAATAAACATATTTTTGTTATAAATTAGTACTTTTTAGTTTGGAACATATCTTCGAATTTATATATTGTTATAAACTAATAAAAATATATATATTATAAAATGAACATAAGTATGTAAAAGTGTATGAAATATTAAATACAACATTGCAGATATATTATAATAATTAATAAATATAATGCTTTATCAACTCATTCGTTTTAATGTACATATAAAGCAGTGCACTACACACAATTTACACAATTAAATAAATATTACACAACAAATATGCATGAAATTTTGAGTAATTAAATTAAAAAAGGACAATCTCCTTGAAAAACAGATAAACCTTTTTGTACCAATCTCCTAAAAAAGTGCTGTAATTCTACCGTATCAATAACAGATTAAACACATCATTTAGAATTACGTAAAACCTCAATCTTTGAATATTGCATGCAATCCAAAAAATTATCTCTAAAATATTAACGCAACCAAAATTTGGTAGGTTTTATCGTAGTAGCAGCTTGTGTAATGACATTCGAGGCTCGTGATAACGCTGCCAAAGTAGTTCCAGCTCGTTTTCGCTTCAGTCAAACGTCGACAATAAAAAACCCAAGAAATCAACGAAATCGGAGATCCACGTCCAGCCAGACGGCCAAATGGGATCACCAATTAGGGGTGTTCAAAGTGAACAGAAGCCCAAGTCCAAGTATACAAGAGGTTTCCAGAAAGCAGCTAACCGCAGAGTTTATGCAATTTTCGAAAGAACTGAACGAGAAACAAACTGGACACTCGATCAAAAAAAGTCCCAGTGCCCCGACCTTGATAGACAAAAGATCTCCCCGTAAGAGAACCCCAAAATATGCTGGATGCGCGCTGTTGAATCCAGAATTGCTTCAAAGACACGCGCTCTCCGTTGATAACCCTAGCTACAGTCCTCACCAGGTATAATTTTGATAAGTTTCATGAGATGATTGGCTATGTGTAATTAATGAATGTGGAAATAGGTGAGTAGAGAAAGCTTGGACCAACAGAAAATGGGAGGCAGTCAAGTGTCGATGGCGATGGATCTTCACATTCCTAATAAGGGTCCTGTCACGCTGAAGGTGAAGGATAGGTCTGACACAGCAAGGAGACATCAACTACTTCGGCAGACGAAAGTAGAATATGTCGAAGAGGTTGATGAGGCACGATCACCTACTGGTCGTGGTCTTTCCCCTAAATTATCAGGTTTGATATAAAACTGTAATTTGAGGATTTCAAATTTTTTCAAATTATTTAAGTGTCAGTTCTAAATTTTTGGTGTATATTTCTTCAAATTGTGGAAAACACACATCGCCTAATTTCAGATTTATGAATTCTTAAATCTTCAAATCTTGTGAGGACCAAACTCTCAAATACCCAAGTTTGAATTTCCAAATAAATCCCCAAATCTTCAACTGAACAAATCTGCAGATTTCCTCATATCTAAATCCATAAATTTTCAAACGATCAAGTTTTCAGACTTCCACATTTCTAAATCTCCAATTCTTTAAGTGACCAAATCTTCAGATTTCCATATTTCTAAATCCCCAAATCTTCAAACGACCAAATTATCAAATATGCCAATTCCTAAATCCCCAATACTCAAATAATCAAATACCCAAATTCCCAAATTTCCAAGAGTTTAAATCCCTAAATCTTCAAATGACCAACCCCCATTTCCAACTCTCTAGATCCTCAAATCTTCAAATGACCAAATCCCTACCTTTACCCATCCCTAAATCCCCAAACCATCAAATGTCCAAAATAACTAAATTCGCAAATCTTCAAACTTCCTAAAATTTGAATAATCAAACCTCCAAATTTCCAAATTTAAAAAATCAATTCCTATCATCTTCCTTTTCCTGCAGGTGCCTATTGCAAATATCCAGACGATTTTGTACCGCGCAAAAGAAACTCGATGGACATAAGACTGTTCGAGGAGCTGACCGCAACGAAAGACCTAACAAAAATATCACCCCGGGATTTCCGCAAGATTTCCTCTCCAAGTTTCCATAAAATGTCGTTCGACAAGATTGGAAGCGAGCGCAGGGTCGAGAGATGCATGGGTCAACGCAAAGCGAGCCTCGAGTTCCGAAAGAGCCCGGATTTTCGCAGAGGGGACTACAGGTAATCCAACCGCAAAGAAACGAGAACTTATCGCTGAAACTCTGATATACGTTTCATTGCAGAAAGCTATCTGTGGACAGATTCAGCATCGATTGCACCAAGTACCTGTCGGACGAGGTGGAAATTCGATCGAGAGCGAGCAGCGGTGAAAATCTGAGAAGGCAGCGGCAGCCAAAATTGCACCACTCGAGATCGGACGACAATAAGAGGCAGTCATTCGAGAAACAGAAAGACGCCCAGTCTAGCAGACACTCGTTGAACACTCAAGCTGTGGTCGAAAGCGGATGCGAGATCGAGTTTAAATATTTCACGACAACTTCGCTCGACACCGAAGAAAGTCGCGCGGACAATTCTGAAGGCAGTCACACGATCGACGTGGACGAAACGATTCCTACGATCATCACTTCCGAAGGACCCACCGAAGCCGATGCCTTACTCGAAGAACCGGAATTAGAGAACCTCCCGGAGAATGACCTAGAAAACTCCCGACACGATCGACAGGAAATTAAGAGATGCGAGAAGCAGATTGCCAAAACGGAACGTCTGATCGGCAACGGCCAATTGTCGAAGGAACGAGGGAACTTGGAGGAGTTCGGAGAGAATGAGGAAACCATTTTGTACGTCGAGGACGATGAAGTCTGAGGCAATTCAGATTATGGTCTTCGTGAATAATTGGGAGGAAGAGGAAGCAACAAGTTGATTAATTGTCAAGTGTAGAGAACGTATAGAGATGGATTTCGGTGAAAGTGGGAAACAATTTTTTATGTGATGAAGTTTAGGAAGATTGGTTGCATATTTTAGGGAACTGGGAAGGGTACAATGCAACAAGTATGGTAATGTATAGTGTGACCTAGTCGAAAATGAGTACAGGGTTTCCAATACTTTGTTATATGATTTAATAAGACCTTGCAATCTAATAGAAATGCAGGTAATTTGAAATCTAGTAAAATTACAGGAGGACATGACTAATGAAATTATTTCAATATTTGATATTTATGTTCCAATTTTATTGACACACCCCGTGTAATATCATAAAAGACATTGATTGATAACAATTTCGGGAATTATTTTATTAAGTTGTAACGTTCTTTACTGAATTGAAATTGTCTTCCTTGCTACACAAAATTTTTACGAGTATTTTGAAAAATTCAAAGCCTTATTGACAAAATTTAATTACATTTTTGACTTGCTTTTGGCAAAAGTTAAATTTGAGAATTTCTGTAGTGCATAGAAAAGTAGATATAAAGAACTCATTATATTGAAGAAGCTGCAGAGAAATGTGTCGAATCGATGCGAAAGAGGATTAAGAAAATTAAGGTTAAGTTTCATGAATAAGTCGAGGAATAAATTGCAGTGTATTGTAGACGGATTTAAAAATTGAGAAGATTTGAATCGACAGATTTTATGTAATATACAGTATTTGGATTTTTGCATATTAATCGGTTGTCTCGCCAAATTGACACAGCCGATTGTTGTTTCATAACGCGTTTGTTAAGACGCTGAATATTTATAACGTTCAAAGATAAAAAGTTGGTAATGGAAACTTAGATAGATCAGGGTTGAAAATAACGAGTTGAATATTTAATATTCAAGTGTTATTTATAACTGTAAGAAAATTAATTTTTTCTAAACTTTTCTTTCTCTTCGTGTAAAGTACTTCATGTAAATACATTACTAAAATTAAATATTTCTATACATCATGCAAATATTCTTTTTATTTTTGTAATGAATAGTCTTTGTATTATAAATATCCTTCTTATTAGTTACAATTTGTAATAAATATTTTATCTCTTTTTATTTAAAATTATATTGCTATCAACTCTGGTTTTATTTTTCATTGATAATTTCTATTTATCCTAAATCTAAAATTTTACACTTTCAATAATATTAATGTAGAGCATTAATTCTCTCAGAATGGTATTTTAATAACAAAATATTGCTTTCAATCCTGACCTACCATAAAGAGCATACATTAGAATTCTATTTATAAAAAAGAACTTCGTTATAATTTATTCAAAAACAAGAATAAAAATTAACGTCAAAAGACCTAGATTGAACGTAGTTGATATTAAGTTCGTATTGTTTCATGTAAATATACTTAGGCAATGAAATTTTTTCACTTTCTTAAAAAGTATTATCGAACCTAATCACACGCAATGCTCAATGATCTCAAAACGTAGAGTTAAGTGAAGCCGACAAATTTGTCCGCGAATTATACGTTCCGTTATAAGACAATCATTTTTTAAAGCAAAAAACAAAAGTTCAAGGTTATTTTCTTCAAGAATACACGATAAGTAAAACTTGCCAGGCTAACGACAAATAATTCATGTAACTTTCTTACGTGGTATAGTTTATGTGTACAAATTGTGACTAAATATAATGAACACGTAGGAATTATCTTTGAACTATGAAACACGTTTCTGCCAACAATAATAATCGTAAAATCCTCTCGTAAAATATGTACAGCATTTGATCATCGTTTGTGATAAGACGTAAAACAGAAATGTTGAAGAATATATCGTTTGTGCTCCTCGATTTCAACTATAAATACTATTTACATGGAAGCAAGTTTTCTGAGATTTGTTTAAACAACTGTTAGAGGACATTTTGTAAACTTTAACATTAGAACAACCAAATACACATGTGTATACATATGTGGATGTGTGAATTGAAGACTATATTTTATTTGCAAATATTGCTATCTTCAGATGGTTAATAAGAATATTTATATATTATCATTTTTTAGTATTGTGGAGAGAAATATTCTTCTTCTTGTATACAGGGTGTCTCACAATTAGTATAGTTCCCTAAAATGGAGGTTAGCTGATGTGATTCTGAAAGATTTCCCTGTATAATTCTCAATATCCTTCACTAATTCTTTTCCTCCTAGTTAAATCATCCTTCTCTAAAAAAGTAAACATACATATTAAGAAAGTACCTCAATAATTTCTCAAAAAATAAATAAAATAATTAATACCTCTGGTTGTTCTAATGTCAACAGTTAAAAACTTCTTCCTCAGAAAAGAAGAGCATAACCTAGACTTGTTCTTCTCTACTAAGAACAATAATGTTAAAACATTTGTCGTGCCACAGAATCAATGTGTTTATACATTTGACAAACTTTGTTAAATCATGACGAGTTCGCTTTGACACCGTGTTTGTACAACGTTAAAACGTTTCCAATATAATCTCGATAATTAAATATAGAAAGGTTGTTCTATTGTTGAAACTAACAAGTTTTGTAATTTCGCATAATCGAGGCCTATCTTGTCGTATAGATTTTCGAAATGGATCTCAGATTCGACTCGAAAATGCTTTCTCCCGAAGGGAAATGAATTTTGTACGGTGCTCGGATCAAGCATAAATGAGAATTATAAAAAAGGAGAAACTAGCAAATGTGACAATCCATTGACGTCAAGTGATACGTGCGTTGTTTTTCAAGCGAAGGTTTAGCTAAATGTATGTAAAAATCTATTTTTATATTTGTCATACAATGATACCGCGACATTGATGAGGCATGGATCAACATGTTAAATCAATGCTATTTTTAATTTATTTTTAGTACGAAAAACAGGGATATAGCATTGGTAAACAAGTGTTTTTAAGCGCAGATTTTGTTTTCTTTCGCATTAAAAATTTCCGATCAAAATTAGCAAACGAAATCAAATAAGAACTTGCGTTAGTATACTTGTTATTGAATTATAAATGGACCAACATTTAGAAAAAGTACGCGTATAATGATATATTTGGAATGCTTCTCTGACTTGATCTAATATTTCGCGCCCATTTGTATATTTGTGACGTTATTTAATTTTAAAGACGAAAATTTATTATGTAGTTGTTTATTTGCTCTTTTAATTGCGTATATTGCGGGATTAAACAGTTGAAGAAAAATGTTTAATTTATCTTGAAAAATTCACTTTAGTAACATAATATGGAATTGTAGAACAGTTATGGAAAACGCATAATAAATTTTGGTCTTTAAAGAATAATTTTATGTGCGATGAAATTACGATATAATCTTGAATAATTATTGAAAATTGTAAATTAAGTATTGGCATGGTCTTATTTATCATTTCATGCCAATATGAAATACATAGTTAGCAATTAACTGGAAAAACATAATCAAACTGTGATGAAATTGTAAGTAAATAAGTATCAATAACAGTGAGGAAGATTGCTTGCTACTGTTGCCAGTGATGTAAAAGTTGTGCTACGTTTGCAAACAGATAATTAAGAGAGATACTCGTAATACACATCACAAATATCAAGCTTGTACATTAATCAGTAATAATTTCATTAAAATTTCAATGAGGAATTAAAAGTTCAGAAACTTGGAAATTTGAAATGTTTAAAATTTAGAAGTAAAAAAGTTTACTGAGAATTTATTGAGATTTTAGAAATTTTTAATATCAGAGACCTTTATTTATTTTGGAAAACTTACCATAAAAATCAGAAATTATTTATTTTACAAATAAACATTCAATTTAATTTACTAGTAATATAAAATTCCACAATAATATCATTACAAAATGTTACAACAATAAATTCAAATGAAGGCAATAAATAACATGTATTAGAAAGATATGATGTTTGTAAAAATAATTATTAATAAGCAATGGAGTTCACATATCAAGAAAATGTATGTTGAACAATTAAATCTTTAATGTACTTCTATTCGTACAAATATTACTCAACTGCGTTTTACGAGTATCTCTTGCAACACTGACATAAACGGTTTTATTGTCAACCAATTATGAATGTACATAGCAAGCGTGTTGAAACAAATAAAATATCGTTGTACGATTCAGAATTCAATGTAATCTTTGCATGCTGACTGTTGTAACGTCTCAATAAAACTACTTTCAAAACATAATTTGCATATGAATTACACATGCTTGAAAGAAGGTTAGTATATCAGGCGCGAAATACTAAACCTGTTGCATGCTTATAGTTGATAAATATCCACTCACCGATCGCGGCGTCCTCTTGGTAATTTCCAGAAGTTTAACGCCATCTTAGGTAAAATAAATCCCACTTGATCCACCTGTAGGCAATAAAGCTGTTCCACTATGTATTTGTTTCCTGTAACACAAGAAAATCATTTACTATGCGTGTTAAAAATAAATGTAAAGACTTACTAATCAATATATACTAATTTGATAAATAAATATATTCACAAATAATGAACTGTAAATTTTTACTCATAAAAACATGTTATACTTTGTCATTTAATAAATGGATACATTTGGTAGCAATACTTTTTTAATAATTAAATAGTTCTTTGACAATACATACATTAACTGATAAGTACATACATATACATGTATGCTTTACTAAGGTATAATAATCATTTTTTAATTATAATGATTTAACATTCAATTCTACAATTGGAAACAGTGTTAAACACAAAGTAAAAAATTATTAGGATATTTCGGTCGAGGAACTAATAATTACTGAAATATTCTTTAGTAAATAATAATAAATTTTTGCAATTATTAGTTTGATTCATATATCCTAAAAGTTTTATCCATTCAACTTTAAGCACTATCGACCTTCGCTAAAACTAATTTCTATTACACTGTAAGAGAAGTCGATAGAGCAGGAACAGGTTGCACACTTGTGCGACAAAATACCTAACGCCAGGTGGCGGATCGTATTCGTATAGTGGCACCGGTACAGGTAAGAGATGGCGGGAATGGGTAAAACGACTGAGAAAGAACTTATCAAATTAACGGTCGGAAGCAAGATAGAGGTAGTGAGGGGCAACAGAACACCATCGAAGTACCTTCGAACGTTCAGCAGTATATCGCTGGACGCCATACTCGACACGCGTGGTACCATTACTCCTCTAAAAGTATGCTGGTTCTATGATCCTCGCGATTCGTTGTTGTTCGAAGTAACTCTTACATAAGAAGTGCCAGGAAGCCCCATCTCCGGCAGGGATGTTTTGCCATCGGTAACGAGACCTCTCAAAGGGATCAAGGAACCAGAATGACGTCTGAGCGGTTTCACAAGTGAGTTTCCCTTTGTATCAGCGACAGACTTTGTACATACTTTTGTGTTTTTGCCTTCTTGTTTCCTTACCAATGGTATGCATTTGTATGCTGCAACAAGATACCTATCTGAAAGCAAGGAAGCAGAGAAATGTCGCGTAGTCAGGTTCTTGTCTCTGACCAGAACGAAAAAATGACATGCCTGGTTAACCATGAGAACGAAATATTGCACTTTGAAATCTTGATCTGCTGCGATTCGATTGCTTATCGATTAGGCGAATTTACTTTTTTATGATGCAAACATTTTGGTATTAATTTATAATGTAAATTGATATTTTTATATTTCTTATCAATCGTGATAATAATGTAGAAAAATCAAGTTTAACGTTGAACTAATCGGTATCGTTATTCAAATACCGGTAACACTTATGCATATCGGTTTCCAGAAATTTTAATTAATGATTCGTTGTAATTATATCGATTGAAAGGAAATAACAAAGAGAAGCAAAACTGAAAAAGAATGTTTAAAATATCTACTTACACGAATAATTTTATGACCATGGAGTATCGCGTGCGGAATTTATGCAAAACGTCTCTGCTTTTATTTCATTCACCATAAAGCTTTACAAGCCAGCACACTTCTATGAATACCAGATATAAGAAACATATTTATTTTCTTTGAAAGACATAATAATTCATTGCAGAAGAATGTAAAGAATTATTATTTACCTTTATTCTGAAGACTGTTTTCTTATTTTAAATGGGATTTCTTTGTTCCTTACTTTTCTACAAAAATTAAATTTTATTTATTGTTACACATGTTCGTATAAACAATTATTATTATTTTTGTGAATGAAATTTTTTTATTTTTATTTACAGATTAATTATGAATAATTAAACAGAAATTTCTTAATTATAGATTGTTTTGTTACAAAGAAATATCTCATGAATTTATTAATCTTATTTTAACTTTCAACCTTATTCAGATGCTTAATTACTTTATCTGGAAAAAATATTCAATAAATTACTTTTAGAACAACAGCGTAGTCAATGTATATGAATTAAATATTATCACAACTGTTAGCAAATGCATAAACCATGAAATGGGCAATTAAATCTAACTACAACATCCGAGGATTGATAGTGAAATAAAAAAATTTCACTCGTTATCTCGCATCCAATTGCAGATTCTATGCACTGTTATAAAGACAGTAATTATACTAGTGTGAAAATCGTCGTAATTAGAATCTTAATGAAGGCACGGTTTTTCTTTGAAACACTTATGCTTTCAAACAAGATCAATACATGTGGGACAAAGATGTCAAAACGCATTCATGTTAAATGATTCGCAACGCGGAGAAAATTATCATGCTAACAAGTCGTTAAAATTTTATACACACTTTCTCTAGCACCCTTACTCCTCTGTTCCAATTAAACGCTTCCAATTTTTTATCAAATTCATCTCGGCCGAGTTATCGAACACCTGAAATAAATTACAAAGTATCAGATAATCAAGAAAATTATTATTGATACGTTTCCTAATACGAGGTTCTTCAAATTAGAGAAAAACCAATTAAAAAAAAAAGTACACGCGAAAGAGAAAACTGTCAGGCGCGATGTCGCATTATCGTTGCATCGGGCACGCAATTGAATTTTATAATTAAAGGTAGCGAATTATTAACAAACAAGATAATTATGCACAAATAATTATTTTGTAGAGCTGCACGCGACGGCGTCTTGGACATCCTGAAAGAAGCAACAAAAAAAGATTGTAACGCACGAGATGATGGAGGAATGACCCCCACATTATGGGCAGCCTTTGAAGGTCATATAGATGCTCTGAGACTGCTGGTCGCCAGAGGGTATGCTTGCTAAACTATTTACTTACAAACACATTCGACAAATGCCATGGTTACAGTACACATATATCTCCTATTTATCTTTATGTAGTCGTAACATTATACTAATCTAACCGAATGTTTCGATTCTACGTACGTTTTGCTTTTATTTTACTCTATAGAAAGAAATTGATATTAGCGAACATTCTCGAATGTCAAATCAAATTTTATATATACAGATATATTCGACATATTACATACTTGCTGCAATAATGATTTAAAGAAAAAACGAGTTTAAATACTTTAAGGAGCTGTAACTTTGTACGGATTACATAAGAACAACTGTTTTCGCGTACTCATTTAGAAGAAATCACTTTCGTGACGCCAGAAAGGAAAGCACAAGCACAAGTAGTACAAGCATAATTGTTTTAATGCTAATAATTTAGAAAGATGAAGTAAATTTTGAATTATATCATTGTTGCAGTTAATTAGCAATATAATGTGATGTGTATAGTAAAGATTTATGTATTAATTAATTACAATACCTCATAAAACGCAGATTCGTTTTTGACACTTCGTAAAACACTGCCGCTTCTAAACGTCGATTTTGCAACAATTGAACTTCCGGTTATGTTCGTGTTCCGCTATTTGCGCGCCAAAGTTGCTGCAGTTTTTGGCGGTAGAATCGAAGACTCGCGCATGCGCAGAACCTATAATTTCAATATACCTTCAAAGAAATAATATAAAATTTGCATACAAATATTTTAATATTTTATTTTATTAAGAATTGAAAGATTGAATATAATATAACATTATACATAAAACATAAATATTTTATTACTTAACCTATAGTCCACAGTTAACGAACTAAATGTATAAAATTGCAAAATCTATAAAATATTCATGTCAGAAGATAAAAGTATCGTTTCTATTCACTAATTCCTTTAAAATAATTAAGAATAATTATTGGTAAATGAATAATAATTGTTTCGAATTTTCTATGAAGAATTTAAGGTACACCTCTACTTAACCTTGAAAAGTTACATGTAAATTAAGTACGAGGTCGTCGTGGTTAGTGAACACGAAACTTTTAACAATCACGTACAATGACATTCACGGAACATCGAAAAAAGTTACCTTCAACGATGCAACATTATTTTCAACATGCACAAGACTGTTTTTATGGTGTTCGCCGTTTCCTTTTTTATGTGCACATACATAAAAGTTTGTATTAAGCGGTGACAGATGTACGAAACCGGAAATATACACTATAATCTGACATCTATCGACCCCACGAACGGAAATTGCGGCCAAGCGAATAGTGATGAAAAACAATCGAATACGTACAGAACAAAACACGGGGGAACGGAATGAAACGGAACGAGGGAACAGGGAATTGCTATTCACGTTTCGTTCCGTATCTCGATATCGATATTTTATAGCAAAAAGGTTCACTTACGTGATCCACGAACTTCAAATTGACAGTTTCTTCGTCGAATAGAAGAAATGGAATGCTAAAGGCCTCCGGGAAAACACTAAACTAGGAAATAAATCTAATAATACGATCACTGACACTAAAGTGGTTGTTCCCATGCGCGCCATTTGAAAGACTGTGGGGGAAGTAGATTAGTCAAATTCAGGTTCATATTAATTTTCCAACTTTTAAATTAATTTAGTTCTAAATAAATTATAAATATATTTAATTCCGTATAATAATTAATTAATTTTTTTCGGTCATTTATTTATAAATAAATGAAGTATTATACAAATTAAATATAGTAAATGAATATTAAATTATACACTTGAGTATAAAGTTATATCTGCGCATGCGCATATAATTTCAGCTGTATAATATAACGTAATATGCAAATAAAAAAATATATTTTTAGAGAACTAATGTAACTTAATTACCTGATTGGATAATATTGCTCTAAAATAAACCGCATTCGATCTTTTTTAAAACTGTTTCATATGACAACTTGTATCGAATTATCGAAATCACCTTGCGGCTGCACGTTTCATAGGATCCAACAGTTCGTAAAGAGTCGACATAAAAGCTGAAAGACCACACGTGCCCTATTGTGAATAAGATCGAATGTCGTTCAACTGGCTTCGGTGTGGTCAGCAAACGATAGAAATTCAATATAAGACCTGCTATCCTTCCGGAACTTTGTTCCGCTCGTGTGTCATCGCGTGACAGGATGCTATTGCGTACTATAGGACCCATTTATTTCGTTCGATCGTTTTCACGGAACAAAAGTTTCAATAATAATAAAAATAATTAAGCTGATAGTATTAAGCTGACTTAAAAGTTTTTAAGTTATATTCAAATATTTCTGTTTTCAAGTCATATAATATTAAAAGTAATTAAATTTTTACGCATGACTTCAACCTGATGTAAAAACACGCACTAGGTCGGAAACGGCAGATGTATAATCATGTATTTTTTAACGATTTTCTCCGTAGGGGAGACCCCGACAAAACCGATTACTTCGGCAACACAGCCCTCCACTTAGCGTCAGCAAGGGGTCATGAATATTGTGTCCGGTTCCTTGTTAAATTCGGTTGTAATATCTGGTCCTTGGACATCGACAGACATTCGGCCAGAGATTTAGCTGCCATAAATGGAAGAGAAATGACTCTACAGTTTTTAGACTTCGTTCAAGCCGACCAAGAACTCAACAATCGCAAAAAAAGTCGAATACTTCGGGAGAAGGCTGAAAAAGACGCTGAAAAAAGGTATCTGTACAATTACTTTTTAATTTGGTAATAATGTGATATTGATTTATTATTTTATAAACAGATTGAAGGAGTATATAAAGAAACAGAAGATGGCGGAAATTAGAGCGGAAAAAGAGCAAAAGAAACTGTCGAAAGACCGTACGAAACTGGACCTAACTACGGTAAACGAAGTCGGTAGTCTACCTCAGAAGCCTAGTATATTGACCTTCAAGGGTCGAGTGAAACCTTCGCCTACCTTCAGCGATATCGTCGGCACCACCGCAAAAAAACATGGTAGTGCTGTCTGTAGAAAAGCTTTAGCGAAAAAGGCCGTTGACGACTTCAAGGTTGTAGAGGTAGAATGAATATTTGGAACTGCATACTCTTGGTTTTAACAGTGTTCAATTAGAAAACAACTTCTTGTGTCGATTAAACACTTTGCAACCTTTTCGAATACATAGTTACAATTAATGTATACATTAATGTATTAATTCATTGAATACATTCAGTTAAAATTATTTTTTATGACATGCTTGAATAATGTTTAAAGTATATTTTATTAAAAGAATTTGTTAGTAAAACACACTATATATGGAGTAATTTTTGAATTGAATTTTCATTGCTTTCAACCAAGTTATGCTTCCAAATTGAATGATCCGTTGTTGATCAAACGATGCTTCCAGGTTGAAATGAATGGAAAGAAATCGATACGTAGCCTGACTGGTCTTCGAAGAGATTCTGAAGTAATCTACGTTGGAACGTACGAAACTCAAGCTCAACAAATAGGGAGGAGAGGAAGGATCTCAGACGTTTGGGGTACTCTAAGCAAAGCACAAAGTACACCGGATCTCTTAGGTGATCGAATCTATGACGACGACGATGAGCAAAATGATAATAGAGAGGATGTAAATGATATAAGAGACGCTACCTTCTTGCAAGAACCTGCAAGTATTTTTAATCGGCCTGGTTTTGGATCAGTAGCATTCCGAAGGGCGGTAGGTTGCCTGTTTTGTACGTGTAACGATTGTAAATTTCGAAAGCATTCGTAAATATGTAGTTAAGTTCTGTTAGGAAATTGTATAATTGTATGAATGCAGAAGATTCTAATTAGCACAGTTTATGAACTCAACGGTTTAAGAACAAAAAAATCTCGATCGTTAAATCAAATAGCAAGTCTAATAACAACTATTTACGGAATACGTAACGATACCTTCGTTCCATTTTCGTAATTATTGTAGTATTACGACATTGGTAATATGACATGCATAGCTGTAAACGTAAGAGCAACACGCGGTCACTGACTTCAATAATTGTTTCCAACAGATTTAGCAATTCGATTAATTTGTTAAATACGATTCTTTTACAAATATAATTAAAAATGTTTTTATAAAAGAAAGTCGTCTTGATTGCAAAACGAATCTTGATATAGTATTATTTAATAAAATAATTAAATTGTCTTAAGTGTAGTAATTTAAAGTAAATTTAAAACGATGCTGTTTTATAATTCCAGATTACGACTACATTCGATAACATACCAGTCTCGCAAATGGATGCACATGAACAAAACGGTAACTCTTGCGTGAATGGTTCCGTAAATGGATCTGTAAATGGACATAGAACAAGCTCAAATGGGCACAACGAAGAAATCAGTATAGGAAGCGCAGGTAGCTTAGCTCGCAGGCAAAGTCTGTGGGACGACGATTTACTTTCAGGTAAAAATGTTTTTTGCTGCTAATTACCATTCTAAACTTGTTTCTATTTATTTCAAAATACGTATTCTTTACTTAAATTAGAAACGCGCATAAAAATGATTACAGAAGAAGAAACAGACGAGGAGTGGACACCATTGCAAAGATTCTTAGTCGCCAACAATCTATCGTCGATACATCCAGTTTTAGAGTCGGAACAAATTGATCTGGAAGCTTTAATGTTACTTACTGAATCCGATCTTGCAGCTCTTAAACTTCCTCTTGGACCTAAAAGAAAGTTAATGAATGCTATAGCGAATCGAAAGAGAGCGTTAGATGCCCCTGAAAACGTCATCAAAGATAGTAAATTGTAAACTCTTGACTTTAAGGAAGAGATGTCAGTCTTGCAAGATGTGTTATTAAGTGCCTTAATAACTACTTACAAAATGATACAAATGTTTGAGAAATCTAAAACATAAAAAAAATTCTTCAACCGCAGGGACTGATACTTGTAACTATAACAGATTACGCGATGAATCATCGTTTACATATCATTTAATCATACAACGAGAAAATGGATAACTCTTTTTTGCCATTTTATTTTTTTAGTACATATATAAATAGGATATTATACATTTGTTCACTTCTTTGGCGTAACTGGGTAAACATCAGAGTACAACATAGGAAACTTTACATAGTTCATATTGGAAATGTAGAAATTTTCAAAACTTTCTACTTCTAAGTTTTCAAATTAATAATATAAAAATTCCAAAATTTCCAAAGCCTGAATTAACAAAACTAATCTAGTTCTCTATAGAAAAAAATTCTAGTTACGCCAACAGTTCACTTCCGTAAATCATCGCCATAAATATGTAAATCATTATGGTATGCTAAACATAGAAGGCATACCGAAATAATAATCACCTCATTGTGCAAAATTTCAATTAGCCTTAATTTGTATACTAAGTATGGTGCCTTAGTAGAACGTAACTTCGTTCATGTAAATGAAAGTGTAAATGTCACTCTAATAGAACGTATATCTACGAGTTTTCCACCTCATGTTATCGTTCATAGGAGTACAATCGTTATACAAAATGTACAAATTGAACGCAGTAAAATAAAGTATGTAAATATTGGAATATGTCAAACATTTTGTAACATACCCTTTATTCGGGCATCAGGTAAACGCCAATAATACAAAAATAAATTTTTATTTATAATTTTATTTGTAAATGATTATCTTACAAATAAGAGACGCAAAAATATACAAGCTTCTTATGTTCGCAAAAAATAACAGCACCATTTCTCGCCTTGCCGTGGACACATAATTTTTTAATGCTGTATCACGGCTGTTCTGTGTTCGTGCAAGTAGAATGTGACGATACGTTCGTTTACACAAACGTACACCACGTTGCGATTAATGTGCATCAGAATAAAAAAAAGGCTCGTAGAAAATTTTTTTGGTGCCCTGTGTTCACGTGACACGTACGCGATACTATGCACCTGTGTAATCAGCGTACGAACTACCATTACTGTGAAAAAGATATGATACAGAAGTGATTCTCTCACGATCTCACCTATGAAGGCTGCGCGATTAATCGATTAATGGACAACGAACGGTTTACGTACGTTCGTTTAACTTGCCCGATTATACTAAATAACTATCGATTCATTAATAGAAAAATGGATAAATTTCTTTTCACTATTAATCGATTAATTTCCGAGCCCTATAAGCTACATTTTCTTTCTTTTTTTCTTTTATTTCTATACACAACAGTCGATTTTGCATAATGGCAACTTCATTGGAAACTCTTTTTGGCAGCAAGTACAAATTACACGGTTTCTTTAACAAAAGACGGAAGTCATCGGGTTCGCAAAAGATTACTCCTAACGTAAAATCTAATTTCCTTATGAAAGACACTATCTATCCGTATTGTTTCCTATAAATTTACAATGTTAAAACATTCACTTACAAAAGGTATCACTTTACAGAACTTTTTTTTCAGTTATAAATAATAGAAACTTTAAACGAAATCGTTCATTCTTTACACATTGCGCAATAGTAACTTGCACTAATTGTATAAATATAAAAGAAACGAATTATTGTTTCAATGTATAGATAGTTAACAAGATTTACTCTCCATGAGAAAGGGAAAGCTCTCTATGCCCGTGGGAAAATTCTGTTTGCTGACCTCGAAATGTCGTTTTATATGCATGGGATTCTTGCATTATTCAAGATAGGAAAATACCAATATTGTACCGGCAAAATCTTGTTGAGTATTTAAACGGGTAACACCTTTATCGAATCAACATAAATAAATTATCGATTCTCTTCTTACGACCAAAAACGAAGCGTTTGAGTGTAATCCTGAAAACATTCTCTTTACAGACAAAGTGAAAGTAAAGAAGGCGACAGTATCTGCAAAAAATTATTCGATATTCCATCAACTATTATTTTCTTATGAATAAAGTATCTCTAAGTATGGCATCTTCAGCGTGTTATTTTCTTCTATGTTTGTTTGTAGTCGGAGCTACCTTTGTACGAAAGATTTGAGAAGTACTAATTCATAGGACAAGGATATAAAAAAACGAGTGGTGCAACTATGCAAATCTCTGGCATACAAAGGTACTCCTTAATATTATACATTTTGTTGAATTGGAACTTTCAGAACTTTCACAAACATGACCCTGCGTTACCAAACTGGTCAGGAAAGTGGAGTCAAATAGAGTCCTTGGAGTTTTATTAACTGCCAATCATATGATAAATATTATTAAAGCTATCGCATAGTTGTCAATAATAATAATAATAATAATAATAATAATAATAATATTAATAATAATATTAATAATAATAATAAAATAATAATATTAGCAATATCCCTAAGGCTATCGTGTATCTTTACGTATGTACGCTATATTTACAACTGAACAACAATTTTCACTCATTTCCGGAACGGTGCTCAAACAAATGTCGAAGAGAAGGAAACAAACAGAAACGAGTTTGGCTTCTAAATGACTTTCGAAGAACAAATGGGAGGAAATTCGGAACGTAAATGGAAAAGTTGAATTTTTAGTCTTAAATAAATGTATCGAGGGACAGTTTAATTCGAGCGAAGACGTTTCCAAATTTCCTGCGAATGATGGTCTTCAAAACTCAAATAGAAGCAGTACGAGGCACAACGCTAGAAATAATATACACTTACAAGGATCCTAAAAACGGAGCAATCAATTGCTCCAGTACAAGTCTTTGAACATAACGCTTCTTATAAAATATACACGTATATGTACACACACATGTTCACATTATATGTGTATATGTGTATATGCATATGTAGCAAAGAGCTGCCGTGTCTTCCCGACAATGGCTACATCTAAGACGGAAAGCTCGCTTATCGATTAAATCCGCGCTAGGAGTTGTGGAAAAGTAGATCCCTTTACATTGCACTGTCTTGGTGCAGACTTTGTCCGAGACACAACTCAGTACCACTGTTCAACCCTTTGCTCGTAACATATATACGTCAAAAAAAAATAAACCAACTTTACACTATGATGATCTTTCATCGCTATCCAATTGACATCGAATACAAAGAGACTGGAAGAAACTTCACAGAGGCCCTTCCCACCGAACCGTTAATTTCATTCGTCGCTCCAGTTTGATATAAGCATTGCTTATCCTAACTTGTTTAAGATTTACAGCTACACGAAGTCTATGTAAGAATTTTATCAATTAATTACACAATTATGAGCACCCGCGACGCGTATGGAAAGAATAAGACGCGATTACTTTTCTTTTCAACATCATTTTTTGAGAACCTTGCTTTCAAGCTCGATCTCGTGTTACTTAGAAACTTTCACGTGGGTATCATGACGCGAAAACATGGCAGCAAACAAACCGTTTTCGATTCCTTCCAAGGGATCGCACGCGAAAATATATAGAGCAAAAGAAAAAACACGTAAAATTAGAAAACAAAAGGATTGCAGCAGAAACCATTAAATATATTATCCAAAAGACAATTTTATAGTTACTCTATACATATAGCTGATACAACAGAAAATATAGATCCCTTGTTCACAATTGGTCAATAGAATGTATAGAGTTACAGAAAACAAACAATTTATCGACATATCTTTCCCTTGCTTTTACTTAAGTTCTTATTCTTCCATTAATATTTCGTGTCCCGTTTATTGCCAACAAAAGCTGTATAAAATGATCCTTTTATTAATTATAAGCGTCCAAATTGTATTATCTATGATCACTTAATAATCATAACAATATTGTAATCAGAGGGCTAAGCGATCCTTTGGAGTCTGAAAGAATATTCTACAGTCATCCTCTCCTTGTCCCCTTTCTGTCACAAAATTACAATCGTAGACATTAATATAATTATAAAATATTAAATCACCAATTCATCACTTGTCAAACATCTCACTTGAATATAGTACAGTACACTATAAAGTGACCGGATAATATCACGAAGTATTAGCTGCTAATTTTAACATACACATCAATTAATGTGTAAAGCACGTTAATTGCAGCTTTTAATATTTCATAGTATATTTGGCAAGGTTCATACTCTTGGTTTGTAGATCAGTAAACTGATAATCACGTACACATTTCTGCACATAAAACAATGACATTCACTCTGTATGGGCACTTTGAATGGTATCTTGAAACACGTTTGTATTATCTCAATGCTCATAAATAAATAAATAAATTTTAAAATAAATCCTAATACACATAATAAAGACTGTTATATATAATCATTTTAAATATTATTAAGTTGAAACCTTTTTCAAATACAGTAATTTCCAATAGCACGAATGTTTTTCACAATTCTCTTATTCTTGTATGTCAGAACCAGAACTATTGTGAAACTTGTGAAATAATAATAGCAAATCTCGATGGTCTGTATAGAATATTCGAAATATACGAACGTGTTTTATATGGCAATGTAAACGACTGCCTTCTTTCTGAAGTGATTATGTTTAACCAAGAATTATGTAGGGGAGTTGAACCGTTAATAATTAATTTACCAATCGATTAATTAATGGGGAGCAAGGGAGTAAGGCTACTTTACACATCGCGCGCCGTTACATGAAACGCGATCGTTTGTGCGTGGGAGATCCCATATCCACGTCATGCGAAGCAGGCCGTTTGTGATGTCGAGCAAATTCGCTAGTAATAAAAGCCGACAGTTCGGCTTGTCTTCCAGTACGCCGGGACATTGGTGAACCTATTCAATTATTAAAATAACCTTAATACACAAGAATCTAATTTTGAATTACTGATTTCAAGGGATTACTATGTTAGCTTCATAATTTATCACATAATGCTTACCAGATAATGCAATTGCTTCTCTAAATGTGTGTAACTCAGGATCAGGATCAGTTGTAGATACAGGTGTTGGTGCAACAACCATATTTGGTGCGGAACTTTCAGATGGAGGTGAACCACATACCATCATCCTTGGTTTAGGGGAACTCCTACAAATTTATTCACAAGCATATCATATCTGTATTACCTGTATTAATAAAACAAACCTTATAAAAGTTACTGTTGCATTAATGCCTATAGAATAAAACACTTAAATTTTTACATATTAAAATACAATAGTATACGTAGCTTTTGTATTTTTTAACAGCTTCTGAAATTATAATATACGAAAACTACTGAAAATAAATTTATTTACTTTATGGATAGTCTGATGATATTTACCTATGCGAATGTGGTCTAGGTGGTGGTGGTTTTCCAGCAAGATATGCTAAAAGATCTTCCCTTCGAATCATACGTCTTTTTTTCCTAGCCCAATTCATTATTTCTTTACTACGCTTTTGTCGACCCATTTCGACACTTAAATCACTACATCGACGTATACTATCCATTGAATCTGTTAAAATATTTGTTACAGTTAAAAACAAAAATATGAACACATAATTACATATAATAGAAATTGTAACAATAAAAATTTCAATTTACTTATTACCAAAGCATTAAATATGTAGAGTATTTTATGAGTTAAATTAAAAATATTATTATAACAATGTTTCAATCTGTTGTTAGGTTTACTTCAGGCTTTTATCATAAATAAAAATTATACATGACTGTGTTACAGATGTCTTATTACTGTTACAATATTTATATTAATTTTTTCATATATTTGTGACAATATGCAAATAATTTTATTTTACAGACTCAAGTTCCATTTTTGACATCTATAACAATGTTACATATGATTTTTATCACACATGTAATTCAAAAGTTATACAACTCAAAATGTATGTTTTCCCGGGGAAGCAAAAAATTATCTAATACTATGTGACATATATGAGTGATACATATGACTTTATTTTATTTGTGCGCTATTATTATTTTCAGAGTAAGATGTACTTACAAAATATAGCACAGTATCACATAAATTAATGCAATAATTGCTTTCTACTAACCAAATTATAAAAATAAATGTTTAGCATTGCCTCGTTGTAATAGAAACCTCAGATGATCAATATATGTTCTCAACATTTATTAATAACATTGAATTTTGTCAATATTATAAATATCTGTTGACAAACAAAATTTACCTCAAAACATTTAATATTTATTAATAATAAATACATGTGTAAAGAAAACTGACACATTTAGACACCCACCTAACCACCTTAGTACTTCAATATTGACACTATATGAAAATCTTCCCTCGATAATATTAGCAATACATATTGATCATCGAAAACCCTGAAATACTGATAGTGCACAGTGTGTCTCAATTATTTCAACAAAGTTATATCAGCATATTGTGCAAATAAGGAGCACGAATAAAATATTATATAGGATATTAGTAAGTTCTTGAATGCTTTATTAAAAAGTTACAACAAAAATAATAATTAATATTAACATTCTTGATTGAAGCTACACACTAATGGAATACATCTATGTAGATATCTGTGTATTATAATATTACAAAATGTCTATTATTTATGAATGCAAAGATGGAAAAAAAAGATTTGTGATATATCTGACACAATTAACAAGAAATGAATAATACACTAAATTCTATTTTCTGCAGATACTACCTCTACATTCATAATAACAATTGTAATGGAATCATAACGTGAAGCAACAATCCATTATGACGTAGTATGCAACAAGAAAACACTGCATTATCATTTTATATTTTTATTACAACTTTTTGATAAAGCGTTTAAAACCTATGTTTTTGAAACAGTTCATTTTTATTCTTACATATAGAATATGCTGATAAAGTTTTGCAGGAAATGACTGGGACACCCTGTATATTGATCATCTGAGGTCTCCATAATGCTTCCAACCATAAACAGAAATGATATAATCATGCAGGAACGACAGGTATTTACAACTCTTTTCTATAAATATTCGTAATAGTCCTAAAAGTTCGCATCAATTAACAGCTGACCTTCAACATTGGTCAGCTGTGCAAAGCGTTCTGACGCACACATACGTAAAGCGCGTATCGCAGTATGCGTGAGCGAGTGACGGATGCACAAAGGGACAGCTGAACAGCGTAGGTAAAGATTAAAGAAAGGGGTAGAAAAAACGAGTAAGAAACGATGATAGTGGCGAAAGAGAAGAACGAAGATTTATACAGCTCACATTGTTGACAAGAAAACGTACGCACCTTTATACAACGATGTGACGGTACCCGCGGCGGTTTGGAAGGGTAGCCATAGAGAGACACCCTGCGTACGATCTGTAAAAGAGCAAAGCCGAAAGGAACTGGTTACACGATCAGATCGATATGCAGTTGCATGTGGTCGCAAAAAGGGAATCGAAGCAAACGAGGAGCGAGAACTGGCTGGCATAAAACGTCGCACAAAATGGATGTCACGCAAAATGGTAACTCGAAGAAATACGAGATGTCTCGCTGCTCGTTATCCTCAGGGCTCGTCTTGCGTACGAGTCGAAGGAGATTGCGAACACGACGAACAGTGCGTATTAGCTCGCCTTTGTACAGCTGGGCGATGGCTGACGCCGTCGTCTGAAAGCTCGTCCACATCTGCTGGGAATAGAGTTCCTTTTCGTTGTGCAGTTGTGTTTCGTAATCCGGCTCTGCTTCCAATGCCTCGACGCACTGTTGCTCCCAGTTGCTGTACCAGAGATCCATTATAGGATCCTCCTCGCTTCGATCTTCGCTCATGGCTCGTCGTCCTCGAGACTCGTTGCGAGCTCACGCCTCGCCCACCCACACGCACTCACGACACGCACCAAAATCGCGTAACCCTCTATAAACTCCGTCGTATCTTCTCGTTTTTCGTGTTTGTCTTACCGCACCTCCGTTGCCGTCCGTCTACTTCACGTAATGCGAACACGGTAGCTCGCATGCATGCCACCCGAGTCAGGTCGCGGCCATTACGATGTGCCTCGCTCGAGGATCGCGCGAGTCTTACGCGCAACGAAATACGAAATACCAATTGGCAGCTACGAAGAACGAACTAACCCAACGATACATAATCCCTTTTCACCCCTCGACTGCGACGACGCACTGATTCCTGGGATTCACTGCTGCGCTCTGTTCAACAGAATGCAGAAACCCGAAATGCGCAGTTTCCATCGAACTGCGTGCTGCCGATAGAGAAGGGATACGGTACATTTGCAATTTCATATTTCTTTGTTATTAATTCATAAATTCTTAGTTAATATTCCACTTACAGCAGCCATGTGATGTTTCTTGTGCGATTAAATTATACTGCACTATATTTTATTCAAATATGCTGTCTCAGATTTAAACTATTTGATGTTTGGTATCGATAAAAAGGAAATCTGTAAACAATCTATATATGTAAGTACAACATATGTGATCAAAAACTAATTATTTGCCACGTATAATATTTCGATTATAAAACAGTAATGCTACAATTAGAATAATCATCAATGTAATTAATGATGAGTGAAGAAATAATAGTAACTAGATAACAGAAAATTTTGCTGATTCGCAAAATAAGCTACCTTTGTTCTTTTCTGAGTCAAGCTTAGCTCCTTGCAGTCTGAATGTAACTAAAATAATATCGCTAGTTCGCATACTGTATTAAAATTGAAAATAAAAAATACCGCACTTCATGGATGCTCAGAATCTATTTGACAACAAATAGGTATTGATAAAATAAAATCTTAACTGACTGTTCTTATAGTGTTTGACTTATTTGGACTATCAATGTCCAATAAGTAGAAAACGTTGAGCCAATGTTAATTTTAATTGTTATTTAGTATCAATTACTCATACGAACGTTTTGTGAATTTTAAAAAAGTCGGAAATGAATTGTAAAAGCGATTGTTTGTTTTGTTAGTTTCTTCGCTTCCCGCTAGATGGTGCAAGTAGGTCTGTTTTTATGGATTATTCCAATTACATCACTTGTTTCTTTATTATTTCAAAATATTTAGTAACATTCTTCACATATTTCATTTGCTTGAGTCCTGTGACCTATATAATACACGTTATAAATAATTGCAGATTCACCAGACATCAAAACGTATTAATTCAATGAAGTGAAATGTATAAATGTATATATAAATATATAAGTTAATTGATTATATGAAATTATAATAATGAGACAAATTAAATTATAAATACGACATGTAATTTCCGGATGTGTTAAAATTATATTTTGACATTATAAATACTTCACAGATGATATATGCAATATGCGGTAGAGCTTTATAGTCAGTGACGGATTTAGCCTTCAAGGGACCTGAGGTATTATAATTCAAGATTCCTAGATTCCAATATCCCTAGGTTCCTAAATTCTTCTATTTTCAAGTTTTTATATTCCAAATTTTCTATATCCGTAAATTCCTGTATTTTACAATTGCTATATTCCTATTTAAAATAAAAGCAGAGAAACAAAGCAATTCATATTGTACTTTTGAAAGTAAAAAATGAAATGTATGTATATGATTCACTGTAAAAATGATGATATAGAAGATATAATACTGATAATCGATTATAGTCGTAAGTATGAGAACATAAATTATATATCGGTCTCTAGATATTAAAAATATCTTATCTTATGGGGCCCGTAATAGCCGTCTTTACTACCTACACATAAATCCGTTACTGTGTATGGTTTTATGTGCCGTTCATGTTTGTATTTCAGCTGTTGAGTCGTGCACTTGTGCGGCTCGTGAGTCGGAATAAGGTCTGTTCTGTACATTTTTTTGCTGACGAAACAATATTATAATTGGAAAATGACAGGGTTTACAGAAAGTGCACTTGTGAAAAGATTAATGGACTTGAATCCTTCTCAGCAAAGTATTCAAACACTTTCTCTTTGGTTAATTCATCACAGAAAACATCATCCAACCATCGTGAAAGTCTGGTTCAAAGAGATGTGTAAAGGTACGTGACGATTTTCGTAAGTATACCTTTATTCATATGTTTTGCCTTTGAAATTCTGCATTCCGAATATTATTTCGTCGCAGACTTATTTTAAACGACATTCAAGCGTAATAAGTGGAAAGTGGTTTTTGACAAAATTTCTAGGTTAACTCGTATGTTGGACATTTACTTATACGTAATTGTAGACATATTTTTCTCGTAACAGTTTGTCAACTGCAGAATTACATCTTTATTGATAGTAATTAACTGTTACAACCAAAATTATATTTTATATAATACTATAATTAGTGAAAATGTAATTCAGTAATACTTCATCATGTGCAATTACAAAACACATTTATTGTTTATATAGGTGATTACTATTTTATATACTAACTTTGTTAAATCTTCCATTAGTTTTTATATTTTGTTTCTTCATAAAATAAGGTACAGTAATATTAATAATATTAGTAGCATTATTAATAATGAGCATTAAGCATATCTATGTATATTGCTTATCTCAACTTATAATTAATATAACTTAGTTCATTTTATTTGACTTATTATTTAAAGTTTTTATTGCATTATTATATATTGGATTTCATTACAAAATAATTTGTTTCAAAACTTCTTTGAATATATATATTGTAATATACTTTTGCTTTTATCACATTCTAATTAATATGTTTATTTATATCACTTCTGTGAACCATATCTTCATTAATATATTTTTGCAGTAAAGGATAATCGTAAACTAATGTTTATGTATCTGGCAAATGATGTTATTCAAAACAGTAAAAAGAAAGGGCCAGAATTTGGGAAAGAGTTTGAAACAGTGTTACCAAAAGCTTTTGAACATATGAAAGGATTTGATGAAAAGACAAGGGAAAGATTAAATAGGCTTCTTCAAATTTGGGAAGAAAGAGGAGTTTATGATAAAGCACAAATTGCAGAATTTAAAGCTGCTTTTACAGATACATCAAAAGATTCAGGAACCCCACCTCCAAAAAAGAAACTTAAAAATGACATAGAAAAAATAAAGGTAACATAAGATATTAATCTCAAATTGTATATAATATAGTATCTATAACTAAATAATATGTTTATTTTGTATTGTAGAAGGAGAAAAAGGAGAGGAAAAAGTCAGAGACTGAAATTGAAGTGGATGGAACCAAAGAGCTGCATGTAACCTTAAGTCCTCGCACTCCTGCTGGAGATCCACCAGAAACAGAGGAACTCATCAAAGCCTTAATGGTTAATACCATTTATAAAAACAACAAAAATTCGGAATATGTATCGTTAGCAATAAACTATCTTATATATAGAAAAATATATGTTGAATCCATAAGGCATATTGGCAAGCATATTTATACAGTTTGATATATCCACCCCTGACAGTAATTTTATTCTGTTTATAGCAATTTGTTTTATCCTCAATGTATTTTACCATATATTTCTTCCTATTTTATTCTGAACTTCTATATTTATTATCTGTTATTAAAATAAGAAAAATATTGCATTAATTTTATTTTAAATGTATGTGATAAATCGTTACTTTGTCATTTTATTTAAGGACATTAACATTTTTATACGCCAACGTTTTTTCCTTTTATATAAATTTTATTTAAATAAAGTATATGAAAAATATGAGATATTTGTATATGAAGATATTGAAGGCAAGCACTAAATCGCCTTCTTTATTTCAGGATTTGGAAAATACAGCATCCTCAGATGCTGGTGTTAGAGAACGTATTGCATCTTTACCACCAGAAGTTTCTGAAGTTTCGCTGCTTGCAAATTTAGCTGACAGAGCAGCTGCAGATCAGTTAAGTGTTGCAGTAAATGAAGCTGCTGCACTGTTAGCAGATTACAATGGACGGTTGCAAGCTGAAATGGAAGATAGAAGAAGATTATTAACTATGCTTAGAGATTATACTTTGGCACAAAGACAGTTACTTCAACAGGCTCAGTCAACTTTAGAAGTAAGACTATATTTTATTTTTTATATGTTTACTCTTCCACATTGATATATAAATGTAAAATTTGTATTAAATATTAATGCATTTAATATGTTACAGGATTATAAAGAAAAACTTAAGAAAGTATGCGCAGTTAGATCTGAAGTAAAATCACATATTTCCAATCTGCCTGATTTAACACAATTACCTGATGTAACGGGTGGGTTAGCCCCACTTCCTTCAGCTGGTGACTTATTTTCTATGCACTAGCACGTGAGTTTAAAAAGCATGATCATTGAATTATTTTTGAGTTCCACGCATAAATGAATACAACCATGCTATGTTAGCTTGGTCTTTGTGATGAGATATATAACTTTCTACTTTTCAATATTTAATATATTAAATATTGATTAAACTCCTCGCATGTAATTACAAAATATGAAACAAAAATGTACTGATAAGTGATAGTATTGTAAAATTATTTTACACAATACTTTAATAACCTGAAGGAAACAAATGAACCAAGTTATTATATACAATTAAAATTCTTGAAACTGTTGTGCCAGTAATTTTCAGTGTTATATTTTTGTTGAAAATTACTTGATAAAGTGTGTTTTTGTTTTTCAAACGGAGGTTGACGAAGACGATAAAAATTTTGTTTTATAATTGAACTTTGAAAAAAAAAGGATAAGAAAAATTTTTGTCTAAAAATAACAATGTTCCTGTTTTGTCGTATGCACAATGCATAAGGAACTTAAAAACATTGTACAATTTGTTACAATCTCATTTTATACTAATAAACAATTATATTTAATCGATAAATAATTTTTAAATATGTTACTCACAGAATTTATTATAAATAGTAAAACGTATAATAAATTCTAATAAACATATGATAATTTCAAATATTGAGTTATTTTAAAAAAATACTTTAACTTAATTATTATAAAGAATTCCATTAGAAGGAAAAAATATATCGTACATACTGAAAATTTTTGGTTATCCAATTATTGTTTGCAAGCAGTGCTTAGAACGTTGCACTTACAACATTTGGTAATCACCTCTTGTATATATATATATTGTAGGTAATATAATTCTGGGACTGAGAAACATGTCTTAAAATATAACGTTGCAGTTGATTTTGAACAAATACTGACGTGCGTAAGTAAATAATGTATATGTAATATGGTACGAAGTAAATAGCGTGATTGTGCATCGGCGAAATTGTAATAGTATGCAAAATATTAATACGAATAAATGTTTTGATCGTTATAATGATGGTATCTTTTACTCACATTGTACTATGATCCTTAATTTGTTGTTATAACAAATATTTTTACAGATACTGTTTCAATTTAATATTTGATAGCAATAAACATAAACAGAAGAAGATACAAAAGAAGGGATGTAATATTCATTAAACATTTTGATTATTTAAAAAATACATTTTTATTATGTATCACTTTTATTGAATTATTTGTACATAAGATAATTCTTTTAAACAATAATGTTTCTACAAAGTATTTTGTACATACATAGACTTCTTATACTTTTCATACAAGTAAAGAATACAATGGAAGTATTTAAAAACTGTAAATTATATGTATTATGTTGTACATATGAAGTTGGAAGAAATTAGTAAAACACTTATATTTTTATTTGTTTTTGCATATATGGTTTTAACTAGTTAAATCATAATATTATACAAGAATTGAAACTTGTGCTAACTCTTGGCAAGCATATTTGGCAAGAGCTGTATTGTACATTTCTTTAATTAAAGGATGATTAATATTTGTTATTGTTTTACAAACTTTTCTATCACAATATATACAATAAATAACAACAATGAATGTTTAGCATTTCTTTCAAATATTTTCATAACAAAGACTGAAAATTTTAAATGCAATATAATATGTATATCAAATTGACATTGTACTTATTAATGGTTTGAAATAGTTCAAATACATTATTGCTTGGTCATAAATAAAATTATTATATTACTTTGTCAGATACTTTTACTATAATATTTATTATTGAAAAGTTTCCCAAATGAACATAAAATGCTAATCCACTTATTTCTTAAATTAAATTTACAAAATATAAATTATTCTGTACATTCAGTCCCTTCACTTTCAATGTAATATTAATATTTTAACATTATTGTTCTTATCCTAAGTACAAAGAAAAAGAATATCCTGAATCGTATGCTAATATTGAAAGTGGGTTTTATACATACATTCGTTGTAATCACCTTTTACAGTGATTTAAAAATAATCATTTCAGAAAACAACATAAGTTTCATGTATCATCATTTTTTATGTTTCATGTGGGTGAGGTGGTCTTGTTGGTTTAAGAATGAGCTTCCCAGTGTCATCGCAACTCATATTAAAATCACCAAGAACACTTCTAGCTCTTTGAGTAATGATACTTGGTGCTATTACACGTCTATGAACTCCCATCATAAATAATATCACTAAAATATAATGAAAGTTCATCTCAACATTAATGCAAGATTTGTATTAATCATACTTACCTAAAATAATGCTAGCGATAGCGAAGAATGGATGATTATATAAGCTCTGTGTGAATGACACAGCAGGAGTATTTGGATCTGTCAACCAATGCCATGCACCCACAGCAGTGCAAACAGAAATGAAACCCAGTAGCACTGTAGATAATTTTACATTAAACATATCACAGTTCTAAAATTACTGTCAAATTAATACAGCAAGAATCTCAAATAAACACTAGAGAATATATTATCATTTCAGAAGACAATTTTTTGAATGTACAAAATTTGAACATAACACGTACAGAAAGATATAAAAACGTACTTCTCCATCGTCGAGTAGCTGGCTGTAAACTAGCAATAACTTCGGTAAGACGTCTTTCAAACGCTTTCAAGTCTGGAAATGATGAAAAAGAGATAACCTTAAAACTGTTCACTTATTATTATGTGCATCAGTATAGAATAGAACTGCATTTTCTGTTGTATCTATTAACAAATTAACTTCTTTGTCTAAAAAATTGTTCTTTTACCTTCACAAACTGTTTGATCTAAAGACATGTTTTATTTATACATATGCATCAACAAACATTTAATATAAGCGCCCTGCAAAACAAACAACCCCGGTATATTCAGGTAATTTCAAGTGCAAATCTAGTTTCTCTGGGAAAAATGGCGATATAGTTATAGCGCTTATTCATTGGCACATATTATGCTTAATTCATAGGAATTGATAAATAATTAAATTCTTTATAATGAATATTTATTTTAAAAGGCCAGCTGGTTTAGTTTGTAATACAAAATGTAGAATAATTTGTTGTAAAGTAATTGATTGTAAAATTGAAGGTATTTTGAACGTGTTCTTTGAAATTTTGTATTTACGCGCGTTCTTTTCGAAAATATCGCTATTACCATCTAGTAGCGAGCTGTGGTATTAGCAGAATAGAAAATTATATTTTTCATTTTTATTTTAACCACTGTAGAAGTTGTGAATTTTTCAGATAATTCTGTAGTTCTTCTTTATCTGAAATTGTAATCTCAGTATAAAATCGAATATGTCGATAACTATTGATAATCATTACCGAATCGTCGATAAGTACGATTTTTTAAGAAATTCGTAATCGTAAAAGTGAGGCTTTTCACTGTCAATTTTTTAAATCAAATACTTTATAATAAACTATTATTCATTTAACATTTGGCTATTATTTAGTATTCTGTAGAATTTGTGATAAAACAGGATAATGTGAACGGAATATTACTGTTTAATATTATACTAATAGATGGCGCTATGATGTTAAATTTTTTGCGTTCCTGATTAGTTTACATATCTAATAGTAGATGGCTATGAAAATTTAAAGTTTGTAATGGCGCGTGAACCGTTTGACAATTATTGCAGGTACGAAATAAATTATTAAAAATATCCATTTACCAATAAAAACTAATGTGAATATTATGTATAATTCATAAATTAATAATGTAAAGCTTCTTGGTTTTATGTTACAGCTTCACATTAATGTCAATCAACTGTATACAGATAAAAACTTGCTACTGAGGTATTAGAATGTGATCATAGTCATTAATGACATAAACACTTATGGTGGTACAACAATAATAATAGGTAAAATATGTACAATCAATAATTAGTATTTTATTTAATTTTTATCATAATAAAATAAATGTATATGAATATATGCAATGTAATGAATTCTCATGTTAAATTTTTTTTAACAGTAATATAATAGGAAGCTATTATGATTAATAACATGGATGAAGAATGATGTAAAGTGTATAAGTACTTATACTCACACTTACCCCAAACCTTTCAGACTCACACATATCATCTACTCTGGAACCAACCACATAAGTGTTGGATTCATCTGAATTTATGTTTACAATATGAAGGAAGGGTTAAACAGTCACAGTATTATAATTGACAAGTAAATTATACGGAAAATAATACGGTTGATTTATCTTTGTAACTGTAACGTACGCATTACATTCCTTTGTCAGAGGTGCGATCTCTGACCGCCAAATGGACTGTTAAAGGTCATTATTCCTTATCTTACTCGTCTGGTCAACATTATCGACCCTGACAGTAGTGCAAGAGGTTCCATGGTTGATTCACGATTGTTCCCATAGAAACGTAGCTTGCGATCGAATCGTGGCCGCGTGTACCTTTCGTATTTGATACTGTATCATATGTGTGTATGTGCCAGGTAAGCCTTGTACAGTCTTGCAGACTTACCGCAGTCTCAAATATTGACATGACCTGTGATGAACCTGAGCGTCGTCTTTTGACATCCACAGATTTCGAACCCAACGTTCGCGCCGGAAGTGGTGGTCGTTCCGGAAGATCAAGCGGTTCCTCGTCGCTCCAGACAAGAGATAGGTAAAGCTGGTTGCTTGGAGGAGGATAGATGATGTAGGTTATTTTCTTTCTTTTACGTGACTTTGATCTTGCCGTCATTATCGACCGAGCAAATTTCTTTTTCGCGGAAATCGTGTTGCGCGCCAACAATGATCGGAAGAACCTCGCTGGTGGAACAAAAGAGGATCCAATGGGCAAGAGAAAGGGGTAAGTTATAATTTCGGTTGTTCAAATAATAGTGTATATTATTTTATTTTACAATAACTAATACACAATTTTTGCAGATTTTTATGCACTAAGTACTTTTGTGTTAAGCACCTTTGGTTTTTGAGAAATCCCAGTTTGAATTGTGCAATGGTTGACAGGGTTTCAATAATAGTTATAATAATTAATTACTCTCAATAATTTATGCAATTTATTACTTAATTAATAATTAATAATTGAGTATTCACGTTGTAAATTGAATAGATTATTAATTAAAAATTACATATTGTATTTTAATTCAAATTTAATGAGTTAAGCATTTAAATTTAATTAGAGACAGTCTAAAATCTATATAGTATAGGATGCTATACATAGCATACTTTGAATTAAACTTTTACATGCATAGTTACGTCCATATTGAATGAAATATTAGGAACGTGAAAACGATTCGATTATACTGTATGGGAAATTAATATTTCATGCGAATACCGTAGAGGAAATGGCACGTCTTGGCGGAAGTTGGGGACTTTTAAAAAATAATATGAACATCCGCACCAATATTCGGTAAGTATTATTTGCAAAGGATAAAATATACGAAACCGAAATCTATGATAAAGTAGCAGAAATGAGAGAGTGTAAATATACGAAATTATTCAAGATATCATGGAGTCTCGCTATATGGCCCAGGACGATTATAGACGAATAAAATTTCTAAATACCTAAGTTTGAAATTTTATAAATTTGTAAATTGCAAAACTTGATAATTTCTATCTCCCGATTGATTAACATGAAAATTTGAAAGCTCTGAAAATATTTTGGTTACCACATTTACTAAAATTTCGAAATTTGCGTAATAATTAAAGATGAATAGAATTTTAACACATATCTAAATTCCTTAACTCAGTACATATCAAAATGGATCAAGAATGTCCTTGGTGGAAACGAAGGACAAACAATTGTCCTCAAAACCTTTCCGTGCCACTGGACATTACGGAAGTACGGTCAGTCTGAAGAGTCTGGCGACAGAGAGTTCCGGAAACGGTAGCACGAACCTAAAGTGTCTGGACTGCAATGGTGGTAGCTTGATAAATCTGCACGAGCAACCGGAAGTGTCGCAAATCAGGCACAGAAGCCCGAGCCTGCCGCCGATTTACAATAAGGATCAGCAACAATATGTCTGTCAGGTTTGTCTGCATTGATTATAGCTGTTTCTCTTACATTATAAATCATTAAACTATCATTTAAATTTCATTATATAAATTTCATTTCTCAAATAAATAGGTCTATAGAAGAAGTTTAGAATATTGCAGAAATACTTCAGTGAAGTTTAAATCATTTTCAGAAAACACAGTTGAGGATGGAATTATAAGAAAATTAGGATTGTGTCAAGTTTATTATTGTTTGAAGAATACTGCTTTTTATTTGACTTAAATTATATGTACTTGTAATTATAAATTAGCGGAAATACTACATCTAACTGCTCCATTTATAAAATGCAAGATTATGAGCTAATAATGAGCGAATATAAGCTAATAATAACTGGAAACAGTTAAAAGCATCTGTTCATAAATTGAGTAATTTTTAGAACATGTGGAACATTATAATTACGCAATTACCTTGTGAATAACGTAAAGGTATAAGAAATAGATTAGTTCGTGACCGCGTTAGCAACAATAAAGTAGTACGATTGTAGAAGCAAACTGAAGATCGATTTCTATTGATCATTATTATGTATAGGCTTTCTATTTTATGACTGAGTAAAGAAATGATACGGAAATGTATAACTGATTATCAAGTTATACAATGTTTTATTAAAAAATGTATAGAATTTATAATTAATTAAAATATGATATAAATAATGTAGATGTAATACAATAATTTATTACTTATGAATTTATAATTTATATATTGTATCACTTTATACGTTACAATTTATATATTACATCATATTATACATATGATATAATACAATGTATGATAAGTATTTCACGATAGCAGAACAATGACCGAACACGTGTTTCTAATTGCCACTACCGCGTTGAAGACTGTGCACTACCACATTTAATTTGTGAGGGGAAAGCAAAAGTAAGGCAGTCTGGCAAATCGATTCTTGTCTGATGCTAAAAGTTCGTTCACCCCTTGGCCATCAATTTCGTGTATCCACGTGTATATCTCTTTCCGTAACCACATCTTTAATAAAAATTTACGTATTTTATATTCAGCTATAACATGCAGCTAATAATAACGTTTAACTTGCAACGACGATGTCATGCACTCAAATTATATTTGGACTTTGATTTGATGTCAATGAATCGTAAATCATGAACGCGAATACAATCTCTGTCACGGTTTGCCGTCCCAGCCACATAGTGGCACAGAAATCATGTTTGCTATATAGTATGGTCGAGGAAACCCTATTTGAAGATTGATGACAAGAAAATTGCTGTTCCGTCACGCGAGCCTTTGTACCTTTTCTGCGGAATAAATTGGTTCCTTCGTGTTCTAGGGTCAGCAACGAGACTTTGCCAACGAAGGACTACACTATCGCCCTGAGAAAACACAGCAACAACGCAATCATCGACTCTACGACCGCTATGAAAATTCAAAGAACAATCATTATGCATCACAGGGAGAGGAACGCGAGGGAGAAACTTCCGGTTATGCTAGTGACTCTGTGGATGCTCCTGTGACAACAGAATGTACGTTAAAGTACTTTTTAAAATTATTTATATTATATTATATTTTTTCAGGGTTTATGCAAAAGTTATGAACTATGAATTGTGAATTACAGGTTGATTGTCATTGATTATTGATAGCATAGTAATTGTTCTATTGGAAGCAAGAAGGACCTCAGCATCAAAGATATATCTACAAATATATTAACAATATGAGATTAAATATTTTTTATGCATAGTGAAGTTATAACACTATTTAATGTTTTTTGATATGTTTATGAATTCATAATAATTGTATATTTTCTATAGAAAGAACGTGAGTGTTCTCAGGTTTTCTTGCACTCAAAATAGCAATTCATTATTAATAACAAAAATTATACCATCAAGTGTGATGTAATAAAATATTCCAATTTGAATAGTATTTATTTCATGACAATTGTTATGTAAGAATACATTTATTAAATTGTTAAATAACGTACACTTCTTTTTTGTAGCAGTGTTACCTGGATGCAAGCCACCAACAGCTGAAATGCCTGAGAAAACGTGGCAGAATCCTTACCAAACCACACCGGAAAGTTCGTTGCCACCTTCGAGAAGGTTATCTGATAGCAGGATAGGAGAACTTAACAGGCCAAGGTGGGGTAGTGTATGGGGTCAAGAGACTGCACGCGGAGATCCACCACCACCGCCTTCTTGGCTAGCAAGATTAGGACAATCAAGCCAAGTACGGTTACATAAAGTTTGCAGCTTAATCTCTTTACTTCTCATTTACATGTACTAAAAAATGTAGAAACTATTAATGTGATGCAAGTATTATGTAACATATTAGATGAATTGCAGAAATTACCATCACACAATTTGATAACCAATTATTTATTATTAGTCATGATATTTTAATATTTTAATACACGAATAAAAAATTTGTCTATTGTCTAATAATGTAAGTCAAAGCTGTGGATATCTTAAAGAGTTTCAAATTACCTGGTACTTTTAACTAGTATTTGAGTTAGACGTTGCTGTAGAAATTCAAAGTTTACTGTCGACTTATTCTTATTTTGCTCTTGATATTTAAGGTGCTGGTGATAAATCACGAAAGTGCAAGCAGTTCGGACAGCTCAACCATAGGATCGATTGGATCCGACAACAAGACCTACCTTCGTGGACAAAATATACCCGTGGACGCAGACGTTCTTCACGAACGGGAGGCAAAGAGACAAAAAGCGTTGGAGCTACAGAATGCGATCAAAAAGCAACTCGAAGAGAAAGATCGCCAGAAAAAAGAAGATAAGGAAAGGAAACTCAGGGAAGAACGTTTGGAAGAAGAGCGCATCAAACGGGAGAGGGAAAGAGAAAAGGAAAGGTATAAGGAATTAATTTTTAATAAAAAGATGAAGTTAAACTGTCCCATTTCAAATCGCAATAAAATAACGTTTGTTCTAAATTACTTCTAGATTCGAAGAAGAACAAAGAAGAATAAAAGAACGAGAAGCAGTTAAATTAAAGCAAGCCGAGGCAATGCGCGAGGTTCTGAAAGCGGCGGAGCGTTTGGCGAAGGAGCAGAAAAAGGTTCGGCGAAAGTTTGAGGAAACTGATGAAGAAAACACGATCACATCGTCCAGGGAATGTGAATCGAAGATCTCAAACGAGAATCAAACCAAACAAAATTGTCCAAGTGCAAGGACACAGCAGAACACAATTCCTAGCATCGACATGCAAGACACGAACAAGAAACACACAGATAACAATAAGGACAAAGAAGATAATAATAAGGATGCATTAAACGATTCAGAGAAGCCAGACCAAGACAAGAATGATCTGAAACCAATTCAAGTTCCTATTAGCAAAGACGTAGCAATTGTACTAAGTGGCAGACTGGAAGATTCAGATATCCTCAACAAAGCAAACCTGCAGTTGGTTAACCTAGTACTGACTCCAACGCCAAGGACGATTGAAAATAATTCAAACAATATATCAGTAGGTTTAAATACTTTTATACACAATATAGGAAGTTCGAACTTCAACCCAGGCTCGTCCAGAATTCCATCAACGATCGTGGAAAACAGATTGCTCACACCTAGCAAGTATAGATCCTCGAATGGTAGAGATTTTGGAACCCAGACGGATATAGAAAACGATCAAGATTTTCGGGAGAAGGATTTGAAGGACGCTTCTATGAAGGACCGCAAGGACGCGACGAATGCTAATAAAAGGGATATCGAAAAGTGAGTCGTAATATGATGCATTGAATGTCGCTTCAAAACTTGAAGAATCGTAGAGGATATTATTCTTCTGTCTTGCAAATAGAAGCGGTAATTATTGTTTCATTTCGTTTTCCGAGATTTTCTCTTTTATTATATATTTGTGGATGCAACTAGGATTCTTGGATGAGAAAGAACCTTGCTCGAGGAACTTGAGAATAAAAGATTTGAAAATTGGAGATTTATAAATTTAAGAATTTGAGTATTTGAAATTTGTAGCTATGAAAATATCTAAACTTCTAGTATGAATTATGTGCATAAATAGATTTTAGGGTATTAAACCCATCCTGGTTCTGTCCTAGTTACAATAATGTATGTAATTTATAGAATTATTTTTATACGTTCTTTACTCACCTTCTTTTCATAATTATGCTTGTACGCACTTTGTCTTCATTTGTAATTATAACAATAATTGTGAGGTATGTTTCAAGTGTCATTAAATGTTGCATGCAACATCTGTTAACTTTAAAGGTCCATAAATATTGGTTCAACAGAAGAGATTACCGTGAAGACTCTTCCTAGATTAAAATGTCAATCTAGAAGAGGAATTGATTCTAGACCACAATGGAATGCTAATAGGTAATTTTTATGTATATAGATAATATAAATATAGTGTAAACAGGACTGGTGGAGTAAATTTTTAAGTGAGTTAGAAATTTGATGAAGACAATAGTGGCTCTTCTAAATTCCCACAAGTGCAATTCCACACGCAATAAACACTAAAATATAGAATATTTCACACATTGTACACAAGTCCTAATTCACCAGTTCTAAGTATAAATTGCTTCTACATCCGTTAAATCCTGCACAATTTATTTTTTAGGCCAGGTACTCGGTACCGTACACAAAGCGAAAAAGACCCACATTACCAAAGACGTTTGCGAATGAGAAGACGTCAAGTTGAATCCAGTGATGAACGTTCAAGGTAAATATCAATAAGTGTAATTAGTTATATCAGTGTAATTGTATCAATATTCAACATTATCTGTTTTCTATAGGTCACCATCGCCAGACAGAAGAAAACTAATAAACGTCAAGTCGAAGCTCCGAATGATAAATAAGCCAAAGACAAAAGTGGATAGTTACGATGCAGACCTCTCGATGGACAGTTTAAATTCCATCATACCATTGCGCACTGATAAAAACGGAAGAATCACTATCGAAGAAAGTAGATGCGACCGAAGTGATAAGATTCGGACCGACAATAATCGTGTCCATGGAATAGACAATATTAGAGAATCGGAGAACGATAATTCTAATATCTGGTGCGGACAGGAAATTTTGTCTAAATTATCTTCTCTGAAAAATGTAAGAGTGTATTAGAGTAATTAAATAATCTTGATAATCTAAATGAGAACATTTTTCAGGGTCTCTTAATGAAACAGATGGAATGGGACTCCGAGAGATGTCTAGTCTCTCCTGCTGCATCCGAGATTTATTAACGACAATCAAGCAACCGCGTTTTTCTGCATATTTTTCGTTCTTTCGTTTTAGTTTCGTAGGAAGTGTGATTGTACAGGGTATGAGATGAAGAAGAACTGATGATTCAGGGTTGAATATTTTTCTTGGATTGCAGATGTAAATAATGGCCTTCCAGTTGGATGATCTTCTGAAAGAGGACAAAAAGGATGCAAATTTATTGCCTGACTTAAGTAAGGCAACCTGTAACTCTCAAGAGGAGTTTCGTCGACTTCTCGAGAACTGTCCTGAATTTAAAATTAAACCAGAAAAGGTACTGATACATGTACTACATTTTACATCTAACGATAAATAGTATTACATACCTGCCATAAGACTTATTTAATACATTAAAAGTCATTATAAATTAGTAGAATATTATACAGTTGTATATCAGTCAAGAGACTCGGTTAAATTATTTTTTGAAGAATGAATAAAAAGCTACTTATGTAGCTGAATTTTCTTTACCGATTGTAAATTATTATATTTTTTAATTATATTGAAAAGAGTTTTGTGTACGAACACAGATAAAAAGGGATGATGCCAAAGTGCGGGACAAAGAATTTTCTTGGAAGCCAACTAAAAAAGAATTAAAAGCACTTGGAAGAGAGTGGAATTACGGAAATCCAATACCTCCAGACATGAGGGGCTTAAATCTTCGTGAACTACAGCAGGTTGCTATCGATTGGAGAATGCTAACACCTATTAGACCAAAACATCGACAGGACGAGGAAATGTTCTCAAGATTGGTAATCATTTTATGTCTTTTGTAAATTTAAAATACATTGCAAAGTAACTTGAGAATTTTTAGTTTATTTTGGGAAGTACAACAAAATATTTTTATAACTGTAAACTGGCACATTTCTTTTGTTAGGTGGAAATGGGAAAGCTGGAAGCAAAAACAATCGCCAAAGAGCGGCGATCAAATCTAAGTCCTATAAGACGTAGCAAAAATCGAGCAGGTGTAATTGAAAGCAGCGTAAAGATCTGCTCTGAATGCGGAGACGAATATTGCTTCGGTGAGTTTTGCGGAGATGTTTTATACGACTCGTTTACGAGGGTGACTGTGACGACCCAGCAACCGAAAGTCAAAGTATCCGCCGACACTGAAGCGATAATAGCTAACTTAGATCGCAAGAAGAAGCGTAAGAAGAGAAAAACGACTAAAAGTAAAATTAGAGTACCTAGAAAAAATACTAGGGTGGTTCGAAGTAAGGGAAAGAAATATACAAGTAATGATTTAGGTAGGAAAAGCAAGATGGAGGATGATGGAAGCGATTCAAAGCCAATTAAACCGTTTAAAAGAAAATGTAGTAAATATACTAAAAAAGGACTACGAAAATAATGGTAAAATTTTTATGTATATTCTGAATGTTGAGGATTTAACAAATTTCAAAAATATAAAGGTATTATTGTATTTCATGTACTATGAAAATATGTATAATTTAGGTTTGGAGCAAATGTAATTGCAAACTTAGATTGTATTTGTTATTCAACTATAATAGTGAATATAAAGCATAGTTGTTATATCTGTTAGAATGAGCAAATGTTGTGTTTTATAAATTAGATGTAATATAAAAATGATGTCAAATTATCTTAAAAGTAGAAGTCAAAGAGAATGATGGAGGAATTGATGAAAAAAGCAAAATGAAAAACAAAGTTCTGTTTTATTTGTCTGTACCCTGTGGTCCTTTGAAACTTTGTCAAAACGAAATTAAATTGTATAGTGTTTTTCATACAATATATCAATATTATATAATTAATTTTGTCTAAATTTTAGAAATTTTAGAAACCTCCTTTTGTAATTTTCTAACTTTCCTAATTCCAATTTTTAAGTACATAAATTACTGAATTTTTAAATTAAAAAATTAGAGTTTTCTAAGTTTTTAAATTGGAAAGTTAGACAATTAAATATATGTAAAGCATTATAATAATAAATAACGGACAGGCGCAGTGAACGTTCTCAAAGAAATGTTGGAAAAATATAATTTTTATTCCTTATTTCATTTGTCTTTTTCTGCCTCTTTCTTTCTACTTTGTGATCCACTTTTTCGCTTATATAATTTCTATTCCAAAAATGTCACAACCAAAATCATAAAGTAAGAAATATTCTGTTCCCTCATCTGCATCGATTAAATATCGACATATTTCTTTTTTAAAGAAAAAAACTTAGAAAGCAGAATACTTCTCTCAAATTATACACCCTTTCTGATTTCGAACCAAAAATTTCACGCTGTATCAATTATTTTTCGGATACATCCTAACGATACATTATACGCTATATAATAATAATAATATTTAAACTGACCAAGATACACGCATTTTACACAAATACATTTATATAGATATTAATTAACTACAACACTTTTGGTGAATAAAATACATTGTAGATAACTATGACGTTTTCTGCTCCACAGGAATAATATTCTACACCTACTGAATTATGAGTTCTGGCGTATCAGTTCAATATTGCAAATGTTAGGCCATCTATGAATTTTTAATTCTATCAAAACATTTCCCTTTTTTATTAACAGATCACTTTGAGAAACCGAGAAAAGTCTATTAGGTCCTCTAAATTCATTCATGAACTTTCACGTTGATAAGAATAAAATATTAAACTCTAATACTGTAAATAATTTTTAAGGACAACGAAACATTTTCCGTCTTTATTATTTTACAATTTTTTGCAAATCTTGCAAGATCAAAAAATTACAAAAACTTGTTCACTTGAAAATTTGTAAATTTCATACTTTTTTCTTTAATTCCATAACTTTTAAATTTCTATGAAAATTCGAGATCTGCACTATGCACTGAAAACTCGAGTTCTTCGAGCACTTGCCCTTCATTTGGATGACCTAATAGAATCACTAAAGCATAAATAAGAATCAGATGTATCCCTTACCGAACAGACAACGTTATCGTATCTCTATTATTTAAGGTACTACCACCACAGTAAACAATAAAATTGCACATACAATGTTTAGTTAGAAAGAACATTGCTGATTAATATACATATGTACAATAACACTTTTCTCGATTAGCACGAAATTTCAGTTTTTAGCTTCTTTTTGTGTCCTCGATGTTCAACCTCCCATGACTTTTTAATTAAATATCCAGCGACGAAGAGTTGATTACACGTACCAATGCACCGTAGGCATGTGAATAAAGTCCATATAAATCTTATTTAAAATACGATGTCCATCTATTCAGTGGCGATTCCTCAAATTTACTCGGGAAATATCAATTCTGTTAGTATCGAGCACAATTTTCAAACTTTGTTCGCTAGAAATCAAAACTTTTGGTTTAAAGTTAAATTTCTAAATTCTCAAGTTTCTGAATTTTTCAATTTTCAAAGTCACATTTTTAAAACTCAAGAACTTTAAATTTTCAAATTTGCCAGATCTCCAGACTTTCAATTATTAAGTTTTGAAAATGATTGATATTACCGCGAGGTCCACAAACGCCGCTGCGACTCGTATCACGCGAATTGGAGATCCAAGTACATAGAAAAATACGATAATATTAAATATACCTAGATCGCATGACTCGACAGCTGTCCAAATTGTTCCGATTGTAAACTTAAGTACTTCGACGATAAACTCAGACGCTCAGCGTTGAACCGTAACCGCGTTATCGTCTAATGATTTCACTCGCTCGATTAATTCGCAGAGAAATCCTAGTTTATAATTCCGTGAATCATTCGAACGATGCGCCTTTAGAACTAAAATACATGAACTTGTATTTAGTGCCGTTATAAACGATTCACAACTTGTTAGAAAGAAATCCACTGATCATAATATTTATGTACGTTTCAAATCTTCCCTAAAGTTGGATCAAGCGAACGCTTCTATAAAAACTAGCTAAAGATGTTTACAGATAGCCGATAAATAAGCGTCAATCACTTTTCATTACCAGAACTTGTTAACACTTTGGTTCGCTGACAGTACTGTGCTGTTGTTACAAACTTGATACAGTAAATGTATTCACAAATTAAAAATATTTCTCGCAAAAAATGGCGTCAGGTATTATAGAACAGTAAAATATAATAGAAATTGAATTTTGTTAAAAACAAGCAGTGAATTTTATAACGTTAAAAGCTTATGTAAATACTTTTATCTGTGTAGAAAATTACTGTAACAGGGTCAGAAACTATTAATTTTGCTTTCCGTTATTATGCTAATTCTGAACAACTTAGTATTCCAAAGGTTGCCTGTTCATCCTTAACATATTGAAATAAGAATTCAACAGCTATGTGCAAACCGCCAAGTGTTAACAGTTGGTTTCAATAAAGTGTAGAGTATACTTTTGGCACGCGGAAGGGGACACACATTTGACACAGACGATTGTATTTCATTAGATTTTATAACAACAATAATTCACGCTGTGTATAGAATTGAAGCTCGTTCGAGGTTTGATGGAAACTGGATATCAGCATTTCGTATGAGAGAACTTTTGAAAAAATACACGAAACACTGAAGTCAATGATGAGTGTTTACGTCGCAAAAATGTACAAGTATAATGTGAGAAACGCCCGTGAGATATCAAGGACAAAAGTACAAAATATCAGTAACTATTTAAAAACAGATATTTTTTCATTTTCCTTTTATAAGTAAAAGCTATAAACGATAGTATTTAATAGTACTATTTTACAACGTTCATGTAACGCTCAGGTATACAGTATACTTATCACAATATTTCATTCGCCATACACCCTATATATATATGTGTGTGTGTATATATATAATCCTTTATCTCTTCGCTAATTATCCATACTTTACATATTAACATGTAACACTAATTAATAAATTGGTTCGAGCAAATGACGTTACGATGTATCCTCTACGTTACTTATTACAATAAAAGTGACTGCAACTAACGTCATTTTTCGAATTGAATTTCCTTTTTTTTTGTAGCTTTTAATTATTTTTCTCAGAAAATAGAAGCCGAAGAACTTTGAAATATAGTACTCAATTTTTAAAGACATGGATATCTTTTCCATCCTTTGAGACATTAGTGCTCTCGTAGAGTTTCACTCTTGCATCTTGGTAAGTGGTATTATTATACATACAAGTATTAACGATTAAATAACCGTTATCCTAAAAAATCATTTCGGGGACAATGTTTAATACGCAATGAATATACCCACTTACTATACTCTATAAAAAATGTGAACGGCTGGTTTAGATTGAAGATTCACAGAAAATAATGTTCATTTGATTGACATTTGATCATGTTTATTTGTGAAATAATTCAAATCGTTTAGAATCGTACCTAGACCGATGTTGGCAAAACACAATATCTTTCTTTGTAAATATATGTAAGAACTAGGTACTTCGAAAGTCGAGTGATTAAAAAGAAAAAATCTTTTTAATGGCTAATGTTTCGGTACTAAAAATAGTTTTGAGCATGAAGCATTTATATATTTACTCTATAAACAAATAAATAATAAAATTCAACTATCTAAAATATATTAACTTTTATTGAATGAATCACAATGACTTTCGTCGCACCTCGTTTTACCTCTTTTCACAAGTTGGCACAAATTTTGTTACAGATTTATATACTCTTATAAATACATATCAATCCTTGAAGTTTATTACTGATGTACTTTGCGTGATAAAATATAACATGCAGCTCTGTAAGCATTCAATTTTGGATCTACACGATGGAATGAATCACTCGTCTTCAGTACGAAAATATTTCTCTTGGTACGTTAAAAAAGGCATGTACATCAGTAATGTAAACTCCTCTCGGTAAGAGATTGTCCTGCACTTTATTGTTTTTTGGATGTATCTCATACTTTCTAAATTTTGGTTTTCAACCGTTCGTATGCATAACAATGAGTTAAATAAAATGAATGTTCGAAGCATTAGTAAGGTGAATGCAAAAACACGTTCGTTGCAGGAGTAAACAATTGAAACTAATCTAACCGAGCATTCTTTTTAAGATATCTAAATGAAACGTAAAAGACATAAGTACCATTTTGTGAACAATTTATGCTGAATATGAGAATCTTATAAATATATATTATAGTTATAGCTGTAATTCATACAATACTAGTGCATCATTATGGACATACACGAAGATTCTTAAAAGAATAAGGTATATAGAATAATTATTTTATAGTGAAAATTATGACTTATGCCTCTTTCGCTAAATGCAAGGCAGTTTCGTTAAAGCAGACAATTAGTATGTCGAAAAAATCATTGCAACGATTTTTTCTCCACACATCAACTTATGCACCTGCAGTCACAAAGTCTATAAAACATAACTGATCGAACAACCTAGTCCAATTGGCATTATATACAAGGGAAAGGAACAATTTGGTCAGGTGGTTGATCTGTAAGTCACTTAAAACACACCTGATAAGTTCCAAATGACAAATATCGTTTGGACCAAGCAGGATTCTCACTCTATTCCTCTTCGCAAGAAACATAATTTTCAATATGCTCAATCACCCTCAGTTATCTTTACGAGCTTTCTTTTTACTTTTCTTTTGAGGTTTTGCTTCTGTCCAGACATCTAAAACATGAATAACAAAATATTTATAATTCCTGACTAATTCATCAAAGTACTTATAATATACAGAAATAATTACCTCCTAGTTCATCAAAGACAGGACCACCTTTTTCCGGCACTTGCACAGTAGTACTTTTTTCTTCAGAATTATCTAAATCTTTTTCTACATTGCTTTCCTTCTTTTTTGGTTTCTGTTCTTCGACTTTGTTATCCACCTTTGGCATAGATGGAGTTACCACAGGTGCGTTTTCACTTTCAGAAACTTTCTTACCTTTCTTTGACTTTCCACTTTTTTTCTCTTCTTTTTCTTCTTTCTCAATCTTAAATAAGTAAACATAGTTATTATAATATTGAATAGAAGCAATGTATAATATCAAAGCAAACTTTTGATGATACCTTAGGTGGTTCTTCCTTTTGATCTTCTTTCTCTGGAACTATTTCCTCATTGGGAATAGGTGTAAGTATCACATCTTTCTTATCTTTTTCTTGTAGTTCTTTATTTTCAGTTTCCTTTGCAACTTTATCCTTAATTTCTACTTTCTCTGAAATCTTTTGTTTAACTACTTCTTCATTAATGAGATCAGCCTTCTTACTACTTTTCTTACTTTTCTTTGAAGGAGACTCTTCTTCCTTCTTCTTATTTTTCTTGTCTTTTCTAGAATAGGCTTGCTCCCAGTCTCCTATATTTAAAATATAAGATTAATGTTAATTTAAGAAAATATTAATAAATATTCAAAGAAATTCAGTAAAAATATACCCTCATCAAAGTCCACTGGTTTCTCTTGGAACAAATTCTTCAAATTCTTCTTATTCTTTACTTGCTCAACTTTATTTTCTTTTCCAACTTTAGCTACTAATTGATCTTTATCTTTTTTAGCCACAGAAATTTTGTTATCTTCCTGTTTTCGTTCCTTCAACTTTCCTTCCACTTCATCTGGCTTAGTTGTAGCTTTTTTAGAAGCATCTGCTTTTGTTGGCACAGTTTTCTTAACAGGGCTTGCCTTTTCAGTAGTAGCTTGGCCATTAGCAGATTTCTGCAATATACATAAACTTCTTTCAGAAAGGTACTTGAAACAAACATTCTTAATGCTTTTATTCATAAATTTTGTTTTCAACATTTCCAACAGAAACACAAGAACAAATATGACATCATCTACAATATTTCTGAAGATTTCCAAATGAATATGAACATACTATGACAGAAAAAATTTGCAAATTAACCCGAAAAAAACATAAAATAAACAAAGGTCGTTATTTCAAAAATCATACACATAATTAAATCGCATTCTACGTATCGAGAAAGACAATGGTGAATAACCCTCTTTGAACAGTGATGTCAGCTGATTACCAGCCATGTGTGCGTGCACATTTACTCGCTACAAATAAGCAACCATATGGAGAACGAGCGATATAGATTGTTGTATCACATTGACAATCGATTCGAAAAAAAGAAGATTTACTGTTCGAGCCGTTAGCTCGTCGTCGTGCTAACCTTTTCTTTGATCTTGCTCCGTTTCTTGTTGGCAAATTTCCGGTCCACGTCGGAGCCCCCGGAGAGCTGTGCAAAAGGTGGTTGTTCGGCCTTCTTGAAACCAAAGACGAAGACGAGGATTGCACATACAAGCACGATACCCACGGGTAACGCATATTGTGAGTGCTGAAGTAACAAGTTGACGTCCATGGCAATACAAAGGACGTGTCAACGTGTGCGAGGCCGACGACGGAAATGAGGGACGGCAATAGAGTGACGACGACAGCACATACGGTTACAACTCGACAGTGATCGGTGAACCGGACGCTTCACGCACACGGTGTACAAGATCGAACTCAAAACATGGCACTCTAGCGAGAGGTCTGCGAATTATTGGATGCCAGGCGGGCGCCGATATTCGCTGACGCGGCTCTGACATGCCACTGAATAAATCAAACGAGATCTTATTTTGTAGCTTAACAAAGGTTAGTACATTAATGAAATTTATATATTTCTTACCGTTTATGCCCATAAATATTCTCAAATTAATAATTACGATTTTTTTAACAAGTATATCGATAAATACTTATTTAGTATACTACAAGATAAAATAAAGTAAAGTCACACTTGAACCTGAACTGAACTTATTTTGAACTCGTACTGAACCTTTACACTTAGTGCTAAAAGTATACAGTAGAATGTAGAATAATGAGACAGTAGTACAATAGTAGTAAGAGAGGAATAATGAAATAAATTCGTATAGTAGAATTAGTGTAATAATGATATAGTGCAATAGTAGAACAGTAAAATAAACAGTTTATCATACAAATTATTTATTCTACTTATAGAAAGTAATTAACTGTACAATTTCACAGTGTGAATCATATAATCATTATAAATTCATATGTAAATGCGATAAGAATTCTAATACAAGAATAACAATACATCAGACATCCTGACTTATTGTTAGATGAGAATTAGAAATGAAATGTATAAAATAAAGTTAGTAAAAAATATAACAAAATCTTTTTTATTACAAATATTGTTACCTAAATTAGTACATATACATAAAAAGATATTTGTTAGCTTTTTGCAGCTTTAGCAAACTGTACAACCATTGGTTTATCTTTTAAAATATAACCATTTGTTTCATCAAGAGCTAATTGTGCTTGATCTATATTTTGTAATGTGACAAATGCTTGACCCTTCATTCTACCCTCTTGCATAAGACGCACATCATACCTGAAATAGAATACACTGTTAAATAGATGTATTACAAATTGATTTATTCTCTTATTTTCATTATTTTTTAAGACATACTCAAAGTCTGTTTTTAAGTCAGGTATCACATATTTTCGGTAAATAAAATGAAGGTCCTTTTCTTCTACATGCTTTGCAAGATTCTTTATGTACAATCGATTTGATGGCTTTCCAGGATGATAATTTTTGAACACAGGAAGTACCCTTTGGTCTGTAATGTAAATAAGAAAAATATTATTAATTCAACCACACAATAATTTATATTAACACCTTCAAATACATAGAAACTGATAGAACAACTGAATATTATGAAATAAGAAACAATTTTTACCATTAGTTGATATTCTATTATTTGCTAATTCTTCAGATGTAATTATTTCTCGTTGAATACATTCATTACTTTCACTATTTTCAGCCATTTCAGAATCTTTAGAAGCTGGGAACATTAAACCAAAACCACCATCTACTGCATTTTCAGATACAACAGTATCTTCCTTATTTGGAATATCTAATAATTTATCAACAGTCTTTAATTCAATTTTAAGATTTTTTGTTTCTCCACGTTGTACTTGTTCAAACATGTCTTCTGGTTTTACAACCTTCTGTGTAGAACTTTGAGGTACATGTTTAGCTGGATTAACAAATTTTGGAATTTTTAAACGTTTGGTGGATTGTGAACGTTTTCTTTTGGCAGGTATAATTTCTAAAGGTTTTGTATTATCTTCTTCATTAGATTCTATTTCAGATTCATCCTCTTCCACATCTTCATTATAGATACCTATTTCATATTATGGATTAATCAATGTAATTAAAAATACATATAAAGAAAATGGTAATTCTATCACCTTGATTTTCTTTGTCATACAGAATTTCTTTCCCAAATATATCTTTATATTTCTCCATGTCATAAACTTCTTTAAGTGCTGGAAATTCTGCTTCTAATTCTTCAAAGGGAGGTGGCAAATTCATTCTGTTCATTAAATGTAAAACCTATAAAACTATATTCTATTATGCAAATCACAAACATTTTGTGTTACATTGTACTTTAATTAATTTACCTGTGTATAAAAAGCTGGTTCTTTCAATAATTGAATAGCTATTCTTATTAAAGTACTTCTTGTTGGTGCTGAGTATTTATATTGTATATTTGGTGGAGGTGGTTGAGTAAAGACTTGATTCATAGTCCAACTATTTAATTTTTGTAAAAAAGCTTGAAAATTAGATTTACTGATTGATTCTTTCTTATTTTCCTCATTTGTAAGCTTGTCATCCTCAGTGTTTTGTTCTGAAGTTTCTACAGATATAGATTTTTTGGCAAATTCAACTGTCAGATGTTGCCCCCTCACATTTAATTGATGCAAACGTAACAATGCTTCTGTAGCTGCTTGCTGAGATTTGAATTTTGCAAAAGTTACAGTATACTTTTTAGAAGGTCTTAAAGTTCGTGTCTTAATAGCACCATATTTTTGTAGTAATTCATTGCGTCTGTCATCAGGGAGTTCTGGTGGTAAATGAAGGATTCTGAGGGTATCGCATATCTAAAACACATGTTTCACGTTAACATACTTAAATAATGTTTCAAAATCCCATTTGTAGTGTAAAAGAAACATTAAAAATTAAATAAACAGAGTGAGTAAAAATTAAGTAGGTTAGGAACTGATACAATAATTTGTAACATAAACTCATTATATTTTTCATCTTTTGTGCAATTTCTTAGTTATATGTACATATAAGTAAAGAAAATTACGTGTGCTGTTTCAGATGACATCTTAAATTAAGAAAGATTTTAATATCATTAATCAATATCAACAACAGTTGTAAACATACTACAGTTACATGTATGATAAAAATAGAGTTAGAAAATATCCCTAGATATCGTGGATGAGAACACTAGCGTCATCTTTTCAAAATATGACTATTATATCCGCGCTACATTTAAACGTTCCCTATTATTTACTTTTGAATTTTATTAAAATTAAAACCTTGTTCAGTTTTACTTCTGAAAGGAACATAAATAACAGGTAGTTATTTATAAATTAGAATATAAATTTCATTTAAAATTAACAAATTAACCATCAAATTTGTAATGCGGTTGTGGAACGACTCAAATTTTACAAGAAAATTCAGTCATTTCTCAATTGTACTTTTATGGATATCTCCGATGATTAGCATGATATTATTAAAATGTCAGAATTTTCACGATCAAAATGTATTGTCAATGCAATATTGTCAATAAATTTGCAAATTCACGGTCAATATATCGTCAACATATCGTCTATACAATATTGTCAATAAATATTGAAAACTTTGAATAATTGGCAATATTTATTGATCGTCCGATATCTCCATACATTTCTTTATTTAAATTTTTCATTCAATTGCACATTTTTTTGTTTTAATTTTTTCGCATCCGTGTATCACTACGCCGATGCTGTCATGGAAACTGTTTATACGGAACTACTTTCGGAAGTTCACTTGTCAGTTTGATCCGCTGGATTTACCGGCAAGTTTAAAGATACGTGACATAATTCATTTTCGTTATTTTATTCATATTTCTCATAATAAGTAAGTCTAAATTTTTCATTAAACGCTATAAAATATCTCAAATCAAATTACTAACTATTATAATATTCGCTTGCACCGAAGTATCGATTAGCGTTCGCGAGCAACTGCAAAGCAGAATAATCTATTGCTCGTTGGTGTTTGAGGGTATTCCTATTTGAAAATGTAAGTGGAACATGACAATTACATCCAACGTTATATAATACAAATTTATATCCTACTTTTTATGTATATATCGTTCAAAGTAGAAATATCTGATTCAAATCCTTTTTTTGTCACGACTACTGAGTAGCGCCGAATCGTATTGCGGACAGTGCTAATCAATAATCAAAATTTGCGATAAAAAAATTTGTATTTTAACATATCGTTAAATGTTAATTCATTTGATTGTGCATCTGCGAGATATCAATGATTTTCAAACTAGAATATAATTGAAAACAGTTTTTAAATCGTCTCGACAAATAAATTTATTAAAAATGTATTTCTCTTTTACATATACCAATAGATATAATTTGTTTAATAAATAAATTGTTATGTTATTAAAAATTATTACGTTATTATATTTTTCCATTGAATGTATTATATTTATAATTATAAATTTTTTTTTATTTTATAAATAAAATATGAATTTTGCTATTAGCATATCATATTTTTTATAAATTTATAATTATATCAAACCATATATTATGTGTGTTTAGGTTTTCGCGCGATAGGGACCATAGTAGAGGCCGTAGAGGTGGTATTGCTAGAGGTAACATTAGGGGTGGTGTTGAAAATATTCGTGGGAACAGTATTAATAGGTTTGGTGGACGTGGTAGAGGAACTACTAATAATATTCGTGGTAGTATTAAAGGCAAACAGCCTGGAGGGACTCTTAGAAAAATCGTTTGGGACGTGAGATCATTAGAACCTTTGCGTAAGGATTTTTATATCGAGCATCCTGCAGTTAAAAACAGGTATAAATTTTAAATCTATTCTTTAAATGAATGTTTAGATTTTAATATAATTTATTTATGTTAGATCAAAGGAAGAAGTGGGCCAATTTAGAGAAAATGCTGAAATAACTGTGAAGGGCGACAATATACCTAATCCTATTCAACATTTTGAAGAAGGAAATTTTCCTCCTTATGTGTTAGAAGTTATACATAAACAAGGCTACTCTCAACCTACAGCAATTCAAGCACAAGGATGGCCTATTGCACTCAGTGGCAAAGATTTGGTTGCCATTGCTCAAACTGGATCTGGAAAAACACTTGGAGTGAGTCACTCAGAAACAATCAGATTAAGGATGTATTAGACTTATATTGCACCTCTTTATTATAAATTACAGCATATATAATACTAATTTTATATACATAGAAAAATAAAATATACCCTCTGTACTAAAAACTTTTTTATTTTAGTACATCTTACCAGCAATTGTACATATCATACACCAACCAAGACTTAGCCCAGGTGATGGTCCAGTTGCTTTAATCTTGGCTCCTACAAGAGAACTAGCTCAACAGATTCAAGAAGTAGCTAATTGTTTTGGAGAATCATCAGGTGTTAGAAACACCTGTATTTTTGGTGGTGCACCTAAAGGTCCACAAGCACATGATTTAGAAAGAGGTGTTGAAATATGTATTGCTACACCAGGTAGACTTATTGACTTCTTAGAAAGAGGAACTACAAATTTGCGCAGGTATGATTATGTTCTTTTTTAAATAAAAGTGAATATAATTAATACATTTGGTGGATTAATTTTTTTTTCTTTAGATGCACATATTTAGTACTAGATGAAGCTGACAGAATGTTAGACATGGGCTTTGAGCCTCAAATAAGAAAAATAATTGAACAAATTAGACCTGATAGACAAGTCTTAATGTGGTCAGCTACATGGCCTAAAGAAGTTCGAGCTTTAGCAGAAGACTTCTTAACTGATTATATGCATCTTAATATCGGTTCTCTAACTTTATCAGCTAATCATAACATTATTCAGATCGTGGATGTTTGTCAAGAGTTCGAAAAGGATTTAAAATTGTATAGATTACTTCAAGAAATAGGAAATGAGAAAGAAAACAAAACGATCATTTTTGTTGAAACGAAACGGAAAGTTGACGATATTACAAGAAATATAAGACGAGATGGATGGCAAGCATTGAGTATTCATGGTGATAAAAATCAACAAGAAAGAGATCATGTATTGCAGGAATTTAAAAGTGGAAGGGCACCTATTCTAGTTGCAACAGATGTTGCTGCTAGAGGTTTAGGTATGTATTATTCCTCAGCTTATACGTATGTAGACATTTCAAAATCGAGTAAATCTGGGAATTGGCAACACTTATTGGATTAGCCAGTGATGCGTTACTAATAAGACCAGTGGACAGCTATGTATGTAGCAATGTGTGATTTATTAAAAATGTTATGTAGCAGAGCCCTGAAAGTACACATTGATTAGATTATACCTTTTATTTGTTTTAAGTTATAGTACATTACATATTTTAAACAGGTTTGTATTTTATATTGTATACTAATCAAATATGTAAGATTAAATTTATATAAAGGGTTCTAACAAAACACACAAAAGCTACCACTAAGACTGTCTACTTTTTTTTTTCAGAGGCACAGAGTACCCTAAGTGAACGCGGTGTACTGCCAGTATTGGGCAGACACAGTGAATATTTTATTTTCTTTTGCTTGTATTGTATTAGTAATTGTAATATTGACTTTAACATATGCTTTAAAAAGCATATTTCTAAATTAAAAATTTTCATTAAATTTACTTTTAATATAAAACAAAAGAATTCAATACAAAGATTTCAGTTTTATGACATAATAATTATTATTCTGTTAAGTATTTCTGATAAGATAATTGTATATTTTAGTATTACTTAATCTGTACTTTCATTATACTCTATCTGATTACTTTATCTTTATTTATTCATTTATCGGTACAACAATCAAAACATCAAGCGTTTTCTAGTGCCTCTAGTTCTTAAAATTATTATCTATTGCCTAATAAGGTTAATGCATTCAGGCTTAAACCTTAAAATGCTGCCTTTATCCCAAACCAGACACCACGCTGTGTCTGTCTAATCTCTAGGCCAACCATACATTTCCATATGAAACCAACTGAATAGCTCCACATTTAAAAGTAAATGGGGCTGTTCTTGCTGATTTTGAAATGGAATTGCCGGCTAAAAGGTGGGTGGTTTTCAAACCTGATATTCAGAGAAATTTTATTTTTAAGTAAAAATCTAGATTGTATATAATAAAAGTTTACAAACATGTAATATATAGACATTTACTATCTTTAAAATTTGTTCTCGACCACTTTATGCATTTAATATTAAGCATTCTGTGTAATTACTTTCCCAAGTTTGAAGATCATTCTAAGAGCTCAATACAACCAACATATGGGGTGATGATCATTACAAATAATATGTATAATATGTAAAATTTTAAACATTGGGAATGCTTCCAATTTTTTCTTTTTTTATGTTTTGTCACAGATGTGGATGATGTCAAGTATGTAATAAATTTCGATTATCCGTCGTCATCAGAAGATTACATACATAGAATTGGCCGTACCGGACGAAGAAGACAAACTGGTACTGCTTACGCATTTTTTACAACCCACAACATGAAGCATGCTGGAGACCTAATAGAAGTATTAAGAGAAGCTGGACAAAATATAAATCCTCGACTTACTGAAATGGCAGAATTAGCTAAATCTGGAAATCCTGGAAATAGAAGTATGCCCTCAAATTACTATTCGAGATTGCTGTTTCATACAATTTCTTAATGCACATACTTTTAACATAAAAGGTGGAAAACGGTTCATGGGTACTGATAGAATTAGTGGCAGAAGAGGTAATAATGATAATAGGGGAAGAGGCATTTCTGCAAGAGGAAGAGGTCTTGTTGGTGGTCGTAGCGGGAATACTTATCAGTCTACTTCAAGTAGCTATTCAGGTTCAGATTATAGCGGTTATAATAATACAAAACAAGGTAACACAATTCATCAGAATACAGGATACGGTTATAATACACAAAGAACATATGGACAAAGCAGCTTAGGACAAAGTTATGGAGGAGACAATTATGGAAATACCTATCAATACAGAGGTACAACGTATTAAAACTATGTTAACAGTATTAAAAAAGAAACATTTCATTAAACAGTGTTAATAGTCGTACACTTAGTTAAATTTGTGTTAAAAATAAAATAGAATAAAATAAAAAATACACAGAAAATGGAGTGGAACCAAAGTATATACGCAATTAACAAATATATATAGAATTAGTGTGATAATGGTCAAAATAAAATTTGTTAAATGTATATGTATGATTAAACGATTAAAGAAATAAAAATAAAAATTTAATTAAATATAAAATATTTAAAAATTTTGAATACTAATGAATATACTGCGTTTTATTTATAATATAATATATAATTGTTTTAATATAAATATATGTTATATTATGAATTTTATTTTATTTTAAAAAGCGCTGAAAGTACAACTACTAATTTGAAAATGGACATTTGTCATGTTAAGTGTTGTAATTCTTAACAACTGTTACCTACGTAAAAATGTTTTTTACAAATGTATGTATAAATTATTGTTAATTTATTAAGTTACGATTTTATATAAATTTTAATAAAATTGTACTATAATTTTCAATGTATAAAATGGACAAAATTGATTTTTTATTCAAATTTATTTTACTTCATACACACAACGGAGATACACTACAATAAAATTAAATATGTTTAATTAAATTCATTCTGTTATATTGCTGCCTTATAAATTAATATAATCGTTCTCCCCTTACATAAAATTAACTACAAGCTATAAACATTGGAAGGTATGAAAATTTAATTTTAAATTCAACATATATGTATTTCCGTGTATTTTCCCCACCACAGTACCATTATTTCCGGCATTTTTCATTTATAAAGTATTAAAATTTAACATTTGAAAAGTAGATGATATATTAAAATGTAAAAAAGTAATAAATAATTTTATTTATATATTATTATATATAAATAATAAAGGTAGAAATAATGATTAAATAATTGAAGTTAAAATGGAACTATTTCCTGGTACATCGCGACGCCATGACATTTGTTTCGCAGATCCCTTTTAGAACGTGCAAGGAGTGAAGCGTACTTTTCGTTAATTCTGCTCATCAATACACTGATTTATTCAAGAATACAGACTTATTTTCCAATTAAAAGTACTGCATAACTCCATGAGAATGTAAGTAGAATCAGATTTTCATTAAATTCATGTGAAATTATACATTTTTTATGAATTTCTTACTGACATTTTAACATCTATGATTGACTATGCTTTACTCCATATTGCTTCTTTACTAACGAAATTTTTACCTTGATAATACAGAAAATACTTTTCCTGTTAGCGTTAACTAATTAAAGAATAACTTGAGTATTTAAAATTTAAAATACTTTTGCATAAATTATGAACGTATTTATAATTGCAATTTTCATAAGTTTATAGCACGTGTTTAATATATGATATTAAAATTAAATATTACTTTAACTTATACGTATTACTTATATGTTAACAAGCTATTTAATAAATAAATATACATTAAAGTCTGATATCTTATAATTAAATGTAATTGTTACAAATTTTACAAAATATTTATATATTGATTGTAACTAATTATAAATAAACCTATTTTAAAGGGCATACAGAGATCGTGAACGTGGTGACAGAAGAGGAGGTGGAGCACGTGGGGGTGGTCGCTTTGGTGGTCGAGATGGCAGTAGTGGAGGTGGTAGATTTGGTAGTAGTTCCAATAGAGATAGTAATTTTGGAAACAATAATTTTAAAAACCGTCAGCCTGGGGAACGTCTTCGTAAACCAAGATGGGATATGAGTACATTACAGCCATTTAGGAAAGATTTTTATGAGCCACATCCTAATGTCACTACTCGTAGTACACACGTAGTTGAAGCCTATCGTTCAGATAAAGAGATTACTGTAAAAGGGACAAATATACCAAGTCCAAACATATTTTTTGAGGAAGGTGGATTCCCAGAGTATGTACTAAATGAAATTCGCAGACAAGGTTTTGGGGAACCAACTGCAATTCAAGCACAAGGTTGGCCTATTGCTTTGTCTGGACGTGATATGGTTGGAATTGCTCAGACAGGATCTGGAAAAACATTAGCGTACATTTTACCAGCAATTGTACATATAAATCAGCAACCTAGATTAAACAGAGGAGATGGTCCTATAGCTCTGATTCTAGCCCCAACAAGAGAGCTTGCACAGCAAATTCAACAAGTTGCATCAGATTTTGGAGTTTCATCACAAGTGAGAAACACTTGTATTTTTGGTGGAGCTCCAAAAGGTCCTCAAGCCCGTGACTTAGAACGAGGTGTTGAAATTTGTATAGCAACACCAGGACGTCTCATAGATTTCTTAGAACGTGGTACAACAAATTTACGTAGATGTACATATTTAGTACTAGACGAAGCTGATAGAATGCTTGACATGGGCTTTGAGCCTCAAATTAGGAAAATTGTAGAACAAATCAGACCCGACCGACAAACTCTTATGTGGTCAGCAACCTGGCCAAAAGAAGTTCGTAACCTTGCCGAAGAATTTTTAACTGACTATATACAAATTAACATTGGTTCTCTGCAATTAGCAGCTAATCATAACATTCTTCAAATTGTTGATGTGTGTGAGGAATTTGAAAAAGAGGGTAAACTTATGAAACTCTTAGAAGAAATTTCAAATGAACCAGAAAATAAAACTATTATTTTTGTCGAAACTAAAAGGAAAGTGGATGATATAACACGTGCAATTAATAGATATGGATGGCAAGCAATTGGCATCCATGGAGATAAAAGTCAACAAGAAAGAGATTATGTATTAAATCGTAAGTGTTAATCAAATTTTTCAGACATAAATATATTCAGCTCAATACTGAGAAATTTGTTTCAGAATTCCGGAATAGCAGATCTGCCATTTTAGTAGCTACGGATGTTGCAGCGAGAGGATTAGGTAAGAATCCGTTTACACATGAGTGGGTATGATGTAAGGGTCAGGCTGCGATGGTTATTTCACGTTTGTGAGAGTTGTATTATTGTGACGTGGCAACGGATAACGGCATGTGCCAGACTGATTATTGACATTAGTCTTTTCTTGGAATGAACGGAAATTCTTAAAAAAAGCATAGGTTTCAGAACAGTTACTTAACATAATCAGCGGTTTATGGTTTTTTTATTTTATTTAAGATATTTTTATTTATTTTCGTTAAATTACTTAGGGAATTTAATATTTTATATAAAACCTAGAAAAGAATTTAATGTAATTCTCATCTTTTCAGCACAACTGTAGAGATATTTTATAATTTGTTCAGTTCTGTCATAGTATAGGTGGATTTTGGCATACTTTTAATTTTTTGATAATACATGAATGTTATATTTTCTCAATTCGGTCACTTTATTAGTTTTAAATTATTGATCACAGCATTGCAGTCAAATTGTAGATTGTATTAAGAGATCAGAAATTATTATTTTGTCAGTTTAATTATATTATCAAATTGGTGTAAATAGTAAAATTAAAAGTAAGTCAAAATATTTCAGCAGCAGAATTAGTTTAGGCAAATAGGTAAGGTGATAGAAAGCTGTTTAAATTTTGTTCTGATTGAGAAAAGTCTTGTCAGTCTGGTATTAACGTGCTGTTCTATGTGTTTTCAGAGGCACATGCGACGGAGTTTTATCAATGATAAGAACTCTGGAGAGCTTGCTTTGGAATATATAATTGAATGGGGCGTGACTGCTGGTCTCTGTCCCCGTGCAACAAGCTAACCTAACGCTGTGCCTCGGCCCACCGTGCCACTTGAAAAAACACACTCTCACTCTGTACCTGCGACGGTCCAAAGTATGGAAGTCATAGAGTTAGGGTATCTAGCGTACAAGGACTGCTGAAGCGGATAGATGTTTGACCACTTACTTTCTTAGATTAGAGGGATAGGGAATGAGATTACATTGTTTTGCAGTGATTATGAAATGCTAAACATAAATTTTAAATCACATTTCCATACCATACATCTGACAATATTTTTAGTAAAAAAGTTGCAACAAAAAATGTAAAATCCTCAAAATTTGATAATGTGAAGTTGATGAATTGTATGAGTTCATCATTGCAAAACAATTTCTATTTCTATTGCGCACATAATGGAATGCGTGTGGGGTTGATCGGAGAATGCACATGGTGCTCATCCAATGTTACAACCTCACGGAAGCAATACACAAGGATCAAATTTTGAAAGACCAGCACAGATCCATACTTTGGTGCGGGAGAGAAGGGTGTGAAGTTACTAAGAGTAAATATACAGCTCGCTAACGCATAAAGTGAGAATTCCATGAGAACCATCTGAGCTCTGATTCCTCTACATTTCCAAAAATGTATTTACGTTTCCAGCTTTTGGCAACCACAGGTAAATAATATAAACCTGCTCTTTGTGGTCAATTAATTTTTTGTTTCATATGAAAATTGTAGATGGAATTAATAATTTTGTACATTATTTTTAACGTCAAGCGAATATATTATGTATGAGTAAATCCAATCATGCATAAACAAATTATTATATAATTCCATCTATATCAAACGTGTCATTATATTTGTTAACGCTTTAATTCATTCGCTTTGTAAGTTAACTGAACCACAAAGACTCAAGTGATTTTTGTTTTCGATGATTATAACTTAAAATATTGTACAGATGTGGAAGATGTTAAGTTTGTGATAAATTTGGATTATCCGTCCAATTCTGAAGACTATGTACATCGTATCGGACGTACAGGACGTTCACAGCGTACGGGAACCGCGTACGCATTTTTCACACCTGGTAATGCACACAAGGCTAGTGACTTAATTCAAGTTCTAGAAGAAGCGAAACAAGTAGTGAATCCTAAACTGTACGAACTATCAAGGAATCCAGGAATTTATAAAAGTACGACTTCAGTTTTATTTGAATCGGGTCGTTCATATTTTTTAATTTAATACCACCATCTTACACGTTATATATCTTTTATAGGAGGTCGTTATGGAGGACGTAGCGGAGGTGGTAGTGGCCGCGGTTCCGGAGGTCGTGGTGGCGGTTCTCGAGGCTCTCGAGGAGGCCGAGACGGAGATAGAGGTGGACGATTTGATCGTTCCAATGGAGGAGACCGAGGGAATAAATGGAATGGAAATAATAGCAGTATAGCTTCAAATAAAAATTGTAATATTTCTATAATTTAATTAAAATTGCTTATTTTTTTGCCTTATATCATTAAGCATTTCTTCTTTATTTAGGTGGTATTGGAGGAAGTAATTATGGTAGTAAAACTTTCTCTCAAAATAGTTATAGTGGAGCTTCCGGTGGTGGCTCCAGCAGTTACAGTCAAAATGGCAGTGGGTATGGAGGAAGTGTGGGTGGTGGAAGTAGTTATAGACAACAAAATGGTTATTAATTTAAAAACGATTAATTTTAAACGGGAGATATATGTAATATAGTAAAAATGAAAACGGACAGAAGAAGCAATGTCTTATCTGAAATAGAACATTTTCAATATAACGTGCTTCTTATTTGGATACGGAGTTAAAAACACGTGGTATTATTACCGATGAAAATCGTATTGACAGATTTTGGTTATATCGATTCAAGAACACTCATAAGCATTCTTTTTTTTAGTGAAAAAGAAAACATATATATATAAGTGTATTAGTAGGTAGAATATTATTACCGATGACATTTCATTTATGATTCTTGCTGCTGCAACCATTTATTCTCTCAAAACTATTTATTGTATATCAGTTTTCTAAAACTTGCGATGTATTTTATATATATCAAAGAACATGAAAAATTTATGAAATTCAATAATGCTAACTACTATTCGCTTCTTAAAATCAGCTTTAATAAGTAATATTTAACAGAAAAGAAGAAATGAGAATCTAATTTATGGTAAATTGTTTTCTAAAAACTTACTAAGTTGCAAGTGCATGAATCATTATTTAAAACGTACAATGCATTGCACTGTATTAAACTTAAGTGGGCAATGGAGACCCAGCGTATTGTAGTATTAAAAATTTAATAAAATAGCATAAGTATGAAACCTAAATAATTGTATACAAAGTTTCATCACCATAATTTGCTTTCCTTCGAGGAAAGTAAATTTACACATCAAATTTTTAATTGGATTTTCAAACATATAAAATTACAAACTCGTACTACTTTACGAAAGCATTACTGTAAGTAGTATACTATGTTGTGATCTCGTTAAAAATAATTGATAAATTACAGTTTATTCGTCGAAACAATATTGTCATATGATTATTTGGGATCTTATCTAATATTTTGATCGCCAGAAAAATGTTATAATATGTACTGATATAAGTAATCAGTACTATTCTTTATGAGAAGATATTTTTTAGTCATTGGTTGAAACGTAGTTATCAGAAGTCATGCGATCAGGTCAAGAGTTTATTGATTCATTCCAACATAATGTTCTGTACAGTTACAACTTTGCGATATTACTAGACTTGTTATGGCTGCCGATTCTGTGTGCCTGTTTGATTGCTTTTTGTGGTAGTAGAATTCTCATGATCAAATCATCATTTTTTTAAATAGTATTTAACGTACAATATATTAATGTGTATATTTCAGTGTTTCATGATATCGCGTGAATATATTTTTCGATGTGAGTTAAATAAATGGGAAAACTATTAGATCGAAATTCTAGAAACAAAGTATTAATGTCTTGTCGATCATTAAATTTTGTAGATCTGAAATCGTCATAATATTTTTATATTGTACAATGTTGTCCAATAAATAACTAAGTATTCCATCTTCATTATACCAATGCTACATTTTGTCATTGCGTATTACATTAATACTCCATATTTAGTGTATCTTTACTCGATTATCTATGTTCAATTATAAAACGAAATTTGTGAAATCGAGGAAATATGTACCATACTAATTATAAATAATTTTATGTAGGATAAACAAATCAATCTTTTTATGAAATGAAGTACTTAAAAAATTTTAGGTATCAACATGCACACTAAACTGTAAATTACTTCACACAGTCAATATATAAATATAATTCTGAAATTATGCAATGTTGTTTTAATGCAAATCCTCTGATTAAAGTTATATTTATTAGGTATGACTGGATAATGCGTGATAATTTATTCGAGACCTCGAACTGTTAATATATATGACGATATTTCAGATATTTATTGACTCAGCTTTAGACATTTGAGCCTTTGGAAATTTGGAAATTGCTAAGTTTAAAAATTTGAATATTGGGGGGATTTGGCTCTTTGGAAATTTAGAAATTTAGAAATGTTTGAATTTAGTAACTTAGCAATTTGGAAATTTTGAGATCTCTAAAATTGATATTAATATTTATAGGCAATATTGAAATATTAAAATATATATTGATCGTCCGAGATCTCCATAATACGTCAGGTTTCTGACGTGGCAATACAACGCGTGGCTATACAATGTGTAATGATATAATACGTAGCGACATTTGACAATATAACGTAAGGTAGTAAAACAATAGAATAAATTAGATGTATAGATACGTAAATGGAAACTGTTCGCTTATCATTTTTAAAGTAGTAAAATAGTAAGGTTTAAAAGTACAAATTACAATGGTGGTGGGGATGAAGAGTAAAAAGTAGGGATGAGTTGATAAAAGATATGTGACGCGTGAGACGGTGACGCGCGCATTGCGCGCAGTACATTCCAAGATCTGTTGTGGTGCAGTGATTACTCATCCGCTATTATTTATTGAACGATTTTAAGTTTCACCTGTCTTTTAAATACCAGATTCTTCATTATGACAGAAAATCGTAAGGAAGTGCGAGTATGGTGTGACGGTTGGTAAGTTCTTATTGAATTAACTGTGTTATCACTTTGAATTTCGAGTACTTATTTGAAACTGACCGGATGACTTTGATTTTTCGATAATAATATGCCGATCGTTAATATTTAATTGCAAGTGATGCGGTGCTGTGTATAACTGTAAATAATTGTATGTAACGTTAGAAATTATTGTGATATTATTGAATACTTGATGTCATTTAAATATTTGGTATGCATTTCTTTTTTCTACTATTTTTATATGTATATGACATATTCTACTTTACACTTGAGATTATTTATCGTATGTTCTTGCTATCTCAAACTTTTAATAGCGGCAAATTTTACTGTTTCATTAATTTGTTTATTATCGGCGCACTATGTTGTAATTATGCAAATATTTTTGTTACTTTATATACATATTTTAGAAATTATTTTTTTGATACAGCTATGACATGGTACATTTTGGCCATGCAAATTCTTTACGACAGGCAAAAGCATTAGGTGATTATCTAGTTGTTGGTGTACATACGGATGAAGAAATTACTAAACATAAAGGACCACCAGTATTCATGGAACAAGAAAGGTATGATTTTATTTTATCAAACAATTTTTAATGCTTTTGCAGCAGCATCTTTATTATTGCTTACATTATAGCATTCTATAAAACTTCATTATATATTCATACTTTGCAATTTCCATGTATTATAGATGCATAAACATCCATAGCCTAATTATAATAGTAACATCATAGCTTCTATATGTACCTGTTATTAATTTTACTTTTGCCTGTATATTTCTATATATTTCTTTAACCAAATTTATTTTTACTTTAAACTTGTTCATCGATCTGTTTACACTTTTCTTTAGTTTACCTATTTCTTTACAAGTCAAGTGTTTTAAAGTTCTTTTGTTTTTTCTCCCAATATTTATTACTCTCTTTATAGCATTTGATTTAGCAATTTTTTATCAGACTTGTTAAATTTCATACATTTAAAATAATGCTTATTTGAAATTAATTCAGTATCTTTTTGTTAGGTACAAAATGGTTCGTGGTATTAAATGGGTAGATGAAGTAGTAGAAGGTGCACCCTATGTCACAACTTTAGAGACATTAGATAAATACAACTGTGATTTTTGTGTTCATGGTGATGACATTACTATGACAGCAGATGGTGTAGATACCTATCACTTGGTCAAAGCAGCAGGTCGTTATAGGTATATATTAATTAGAAAATATTCCATTCATAATAGCACAGATTATGTTTAAGCAGATTATAAAGGAACTTAATTATTATAGAGAGGTTCAAAGAACAGCTGGTGTATCAACAACTGACTTGGTAGGACGTATGCTTTTAATGACAAGGCAACATTTTAGACAAGGTGATAGTGAATATACTGTTGATAGAGAACCTAGCAAAAGTATGGGTCAAGATAGAACGGCTAGAAGTCCTTGGACAGGCTGTTCACAATTTTTACCTACTACGCAAAAGATTATTCAGTTTAGTGATGGAAAGAGCCCACAGCCTGGAGACAAAATAGTATATGTAGCAGGAGCATTTGACCTCTTCCATGTTGGTCACTTAGACTTTTTGGAAGTGGCAAAGAAGGAAGGAGATTATCTTATAGTTGGACTTCATACGGACCCAGTAGTTAATCGGTACAAATGTGGCAATCATCCAATCATGAATCTTCATGAAAGAGTTCTTAGTGTATTAGCATGCAAGGTAAGAGATTAATTTGAAGATTTAATGAAATACATTATGATGTATTTAAAATTTATTATTATTGATTTGTATGTAGTATGTTAATGAAGTAGTAATTGGAGCACCTTATGAAGTCACAAAAGATTTGATGGAACATTTTGATGTGTCTGTTGTTTGTCATGGCCAAACTCGTATAATGCCTTGTGAAGATGGTACGGATCCATATGCTGAACCTAAAAGACAAAATAAATTTAAACTGTTAGACAGTGGTAATGATATGACAACAGAAAAAATTGTTGAACGCATAATTCTTCACAGGTATGCTGTTTTCATATATTATATTCATATAAGTAGCTAATGAACTACTGTAAAAATACATAGATAACATAAATTTACTTTTAAAGAAATAAGTTTTATTGAAAATAATAAAATATAAAAATTACATTTATGTTAGAATTAAATACATCTTCTTTAGATTATCATTTAATAAATAGGTCATATATCAGTATTATGGAAACATAATTATTTCGTTTCTAAATATAACTTGATGAAGTTATTTGTAAAATCCAGTCATACATCTTAAAATTATACTTATTATATGTATAGTACAACACAGTATTTTGTCTTCCTAGGTCAAATGAACTTCACAGAATAATTAAAAACTTGAACAACCGTTGATCTGTCCAATCTTGCCATCTTACAATTTGTAATTTCTTACACAACAGACACTTGTTTCCTTACTTTACTTTATAATTTTTTCATGATTCATCTACTCATGCTTTTGTATTGGGATATGCAATTTTATGCTAATAAAACATTTCATGGATTCATCTTGTATTTTCATTTATCTTTAGTCTATGTAAGTGTATATTTTTTATTCTGTAAGAAATCTAATTTTAGAATAACAATCAAAATTTTGAATAAACATTTGCATATCCCAGATCTTTAAGACTAACCAATCATGTTTTGATGTAGTGATTAATTACAGGTTGGAATTTGAAGATAGAAATTTAAAGAAAGAGAAGAAAGAAATAGCAGCTCATGAAGCCTTTATGAAGTCTAAGAAAAATGAAAGGACTAAATAATTTACTCTGTAGATTCAGAGTGTGTGATAATCATATTTTATAGAATACACTTGTAAATACGATATCACACTGACATATTACTTATTTAATTTTCGGAACTATATGTGGTATAAATATTTATATTAACGCTGATATACAAAGTATTAACACACAGAAATGTTATTTTTCACCCCCGACGAAACTCAACGAAGAATCAAAGGCAACGATAGAGGTATAATCGAGATTGTGAATATCTATAAATTTAAGTATTTTTAATTAGAGATTCTTAAGAAAAGATATTTTATGTTATTGCATTCATAAATAGATGCCTATTTGGTATTAACATGTTACTTGTAAACTATATATGTTTGTATTATTACATCAGCATAGGACTGGAAATGATCTAAATTATATTTTTATGTTAACTGCCTTTTTACAAACATATGAATATTATTCATGCATTTTATATCTTTAATTTATTATTCTAATTTTATATACCATTTTAACGCTAAAACTTATAAATTAACAAGTATATTCTATAAAATAACTAAGACCAAAGTGACAGTTATTTTTTTTAAGGTTTAAGCATCAAATAAGTTTATGAATACGGGTTATGTAAATAAATATTACTAAATTTTAATTGGTTGATTGCAATATCATGTTTAATTTTATATATTTTTTATCAAGAATTTTTAAATATAATTTACAATTTAAAATTATTATGTCAAACAAAGTGATGTTTTATAAATATCATCTTCTGTTTCTTGTAAAATGTTTAATACAAAGATATATGCTAAAATGAAACCATAATAATCTTTTGCAATTATTGCGGAGTTAAAACGGCTATGTTTCAAATTATAAAGTCTTGTTATACCGATCAAAGATGGTATTTTATGATGAATCAAAATCATTTGGAGAATAATTAATTGTTCAAACTTGTACATGCATTGAATTATTTATTGAATTAGTATTCTAATTATCTAGAAACCATTATTAATTGTGTATAAATAATTCATTTTTTAATCTTATAAGGAAATCAATCAATTTATGCTACTTCATAGTAGTTCCATATGCATTTGTAATGCATATAAGGAATAAATAATGCATTATACAAGTAATATATAAATTTTAGAGACAAGAGTTAAACAATTAATAAGTGCCACGTTTTGTAACAGTCATGTTACAGTAATCTTACTTAAATATAACTTTAACGTATTAACCAAAGACAAATCTTGATCGTACATACGACGTACAAATGATGGTGTGTATTTATTTTAAATCTGTTGTACATATATGTGCAGCGAAGCCTAATTTTATTGTAAAAATTGTTCTCTTCATATTTTGATTCGTTCAAAACGATCGTTATAAATATATACTCTTTTGAAATCGCACACTGCATTATGTACTTATAGAAATGCAACAATATAATATGTTACATAGTGTTGTTCTTGCTACAAGCAAAATCGGCATTCTTAAAAACTACGACGATATTCGGAAACACGTAATTATTGTACGCGTTCATATACATAATTAAATACTTCGTTGTATTTATTTACTTATATGTCCAGTTGCTCAATTAAAGAGCATCTAGCTGGAGTCCTTAAATGATCAAGCTTCGTTTATAAATAATAAATAATTATCCTATTGTGTATATACAATAACTGAAAGTTATACAACCACCTGTGAAAACCCGATACGGCGTCATTAATTGCAACGGGCCTAAATAATTATCCTATAAATTAATCTAGAATTACCGCTAGAGATTACATACGCACTGATTCAGGTCACGTAATAGCACTGCACGTTCAATAAATTTATCAGAAAAGAAACAGAGAACAGACTTGCAAGTCGTAGATAAATATTGACTGTGACTGCTGAAAGAATACGAATTTTTCCGTGCAATTGTTTGTACGAACCGTGCAAGGTGAGCGATCGATTAGAAACAGTGACAAGAAGTCTTATCGTTTTGTTAATGTTTGCAAATCAGTGTGAATTTATAATTGTGATCTTTGTAATACAGATAACGTCTACAATATGCTTATACGCTAAATCTATAAAGATCCTACTAAATTTCTTCTAAAAATAAATAATACGTATATATTATTCGTATCTGAAGCGCTGTAAGTTTATTCTAATTAATCCGTTAATCATTCATTGATGTACAAATATTAGATTGTAACTGTGCTCGATACGCAGTTCGTGTTTCTTGTACTAGCGCTATCAGCAATTTTGGTACACATTTCATTCCGCTATGTAAAACCTGCTGGATCATTTTGATTGAGCGTAGTAATGCGCAACGTTCGCAATAATTTACTATTGTACCGTTGACCGACCAGTGTAACCCGGCGTTGCTTCAGCATACTTTCTAGCACGATCTCGTATCAGCTCGTCGATCGATTTATTTTGCGGCATTGTCGTCGATAAATTGTGAAGACGTGTAGCCAGGTAGCACATGATAAGAGCCGATAAAACTAAAAGCGCACCTAAGCCGGTTGCAACGTAGAGGAAACTACCGCAACTGTTTTCCAATCCAGCAGCAACTTTTTGATACAATTCTGGAAAACAATGGGAAATTAATTAAAATTTTATTTCTTATATTATTTCCTTTTTTTGTTAGAATGTATTTCTCTGTACGAAAACCAGTCTTCGTTTATCTATTCTATATTTTATTGTAAATTTAAAGGAACATGTCGATGACTTAGTGCATAAATATTCTATGTTTTTTTATGAAATTTTAGTTTTGATGTGTAACAACTTTTATCTGTAATACTTTCCTGCCTATTCTCTTAAATAATAATTTATATTTATTTTATAGATTTATTGTAAACATTATTTTTGGTTGTCCTATAATTTATTAACTTCAAATTTTAATTATATAATATATGATATATATTAACATTAGAAGTTAATAGAAAATATTTGTGTACTAAGTCATCAATGTATGAAATTTGTTGAGAAATTTACCATCGGGCATCATCACCGTGTACTCGATGTTTTCTTTAAATTTCGTGTAAGGAGTCGAATCGTTGTATTCTTTTATTAAACGATCGACTCTAGGAAGAAAATCGTTTGGTGTTTCTTCTACAAATCTTTTTCTTCTCTTCCCATGTCCTGATGGTTCGAAAAGGTCCAGACAAAAATCCTGCAAATATGCATTTATTAGAATTGTTTATCTATTATTTAGATTTTTAAAATAGACAATTTTTTATTTGCACAATGTTTTACAGAGATTATTTTTGAGATTGGTGCTAATGAATTATGAATATTTAATGAGTATTAATTTTGTATGTTGCAACTCATGTTCTTGAATTTAATGTGCAACCGTGTAAACTGTAATTATTAGTTCTCATTTATGGCCAGAGTATACATGTTATCTATTGCCTGAAATTACATTGGCTTCTCTTACAAATAATTAAATACACATATGTGTAAATGGTGTATCTCATTAAGGCCAGATATAATTTACATATTGTTCGCTGTTTGCAAGAGATAAATTTACATTCCTAATTGTTTAGTAGGGAAATATGAGGAATAATTTGATTACACAGCTAAATCAAATATAAATTTCCTATTCAAAAGTCAAATGTAATGAAAAATAATAATGAAAAAAGTAATATATGTCAAGTGGGAAATTTTTAAATACTGCTTTATGTTTTAAACATTTATATGAATAATATTATAGTCTTATTAATTACATAAAAAAATTGTTTTATGAGGAATATTCTTTACATTTCCCTTGGTTGAGATTTTTCCAAAAAATATCCTACTTTTAATTCATGAATTGTTATAAATTTTTTTATGTCAATATTTTAATGGTTGCATACATTGGCATAATAAAATGAAATTACGGGTCAGATTGACACCTCCTATGCCTTTTTCTTTATATTGAAAATTTAGAAATGAATAAAAAATTTTAAGTTATCAATTTAAATTAAACTCTTTTGAGAGGTTAATTTATTAAAATCTTTCAATAAACAAATTTCTAAATCCTTATTATCCCAAACATAAAAATTTCCAAATTCCCAACTCGTAATTACGTCAAGGGTGCAACCATAAATATTTTTTCAAAATATTCGCTTTTGACTAAACTATGTGAGTATAGATCGAGGGTCGATTATTATTGTTTTGATTCTCCCGCGCGAACGCGTTCGAACGTGTCACCGTGACAGCCGCTCATTCAGCGACCGGACAGCACGAAGGAAGGACGTAAAAATTGTTTCCTTACCGGCTGACAATCCTGCGGTTCCATGCATGCTTTGATCTGCGAATGGATCCACAGAGTGGATCGTTCTCTCATGGAGCTGAGAAGGAAGGCCTCGAAATCGAGGAAGACCTCGTTCTTTCTCTCCCTGTAACGAGCCGGCTGATGAGGAATTATCGACGCGAAATCCCGATTTCTGCAGCCGTCTTTCACCAACACGACACTTCCTGGTGCGTGAGGTTGATCAGGATCGGGGCTAACGGTCACCTCCAACAGCTTAATGTATCCCCATGCGCTGTCCGGACTGATTCGAGCTCTCAGCTGAAGCTTCGTACCGATGGGAACAGCTTGATCGACCGCCTGCGATCCCGATGCATCTGATACATTGCCCGTGGCCTCTCGATAAAGGGCCACTTCGTATTCCAGACGACCAGGTGTCTCCTCAACCACCCCGGACACCCTTGCACCGTGCGGACTGCAAGAAACGTTTCTGATGTCAGGTAGGGAAAAGTATCTAATTTATGGTACTTTAAGTAAATTATACTTTGTATATTTGTACTATAAATATTATATATACTATATACACTATATATACTATTTATATACTTGTACTATACATTATACTATGTGTAATGTTTATTGCTGTACAAATGTTCGTAGCTAGCCGCCATTTTGATATTTTGTAGGCTAAGTAGATGGTTGAGGCCATCTGTTTTAAATTTTAATATGACGTTGATATAAATTCTGTCATTTATCAGAGTCATTAGATTGTTTGAATCTAGGTATTTAAAAATTGAAATTAGAAATTTAGAAATTGGAAAAGTTTGATATTTGTAAATTTGTAAAATATGGAATTTGGAAATTTGCGAAGTTTGAAATATGGAAATTAAACAATTGCCAAGTTTAATATTTAGAAATTTAGAAAATTTGCATAGTTTGAAATATGGAAATTTAAAAATTTTACAAAGTTTGAAATATGGAAATTAAAAAATTGTAAAATTTGAAATTTGAAAATGAAAAAATTGCAAACTTTGAAATTTGGAAATTAAAAAATTTGCAAAGTTCAAAATTTGAAAATTTAGAAATTCATAAATTCTTTTCTGAATCATAAATAACTAAAAAAAATGGTAAAATCGATAATCAAATAAATGGTCAGCTATCGAGTCAATTCTAATTACTTTTTATTTTGAACGATGTAACCCTGACAACGCAACACAGTATCGATACGAAACAAGTTTTATGAAATTGTGTCGAAGCTTATTGTACAGTGTCGAGCATGCCAGTTTTCCCTAGGGAAAAAGACGGTGTAAAGGATAGGTCTCGATGGTGATGGGCTACCATTACCATTAATACTCATGAGTTATGCCCGAACGTAATGATACGTTCGTTGTCTGACAAATGATGAGTACACTTGTTTCGAATATTCGGATCGTGTAATTTAAATTAGATCTAATATATAATGCGTAGTCATTCTTTAGTACTGAAACAGGTGTCCTTTTACTATTCAAGTTATTCATAATTGAGTCGCAAATGGTGGATTATGAAAAATGAATGTTTTTGAAAATGGGTTTATGGAACACTCTTTATCTTTAGAACGTAGTGCAATAAAACTACATTAATTTTGTAAATACTTATTACTGTCCTATAATGAGTACATCAAATACATTATATTAAATTTCAATTACACGCATATTAAATAATATGTATATTTTATATTGTACAATATATTGGATATTAAATAATAGAATATTATAAAAATTTTAGAATATTATAAAAAGTTAAAGCATCGGAATTTCTAACGTATTAAACGACAAATATATTAATGTTGATGGATAGTTTACAGGAAATTGTGTCTGCGGAGTTAGATAATGAGAGCGCGAAGATAAATATTAAATGCCGTTTTTGCTCCGAATGTTAATTAATAACACGTGGCTTATTCCCGTCAATGTCAACCTGTCATTTTTTTGCGATACACACTTGTTATCATTGGAAAATAATTTCTGCGAAATATGCAAACAATTATTTGCTTTGCAAATTGTTATGTTTATTGTAGACTTTAGACTATTCGATGTGCGCAGATTTTAATTAGAACGTTTAACACTTGAATATATCATATTAATAAGCAGCAAGTGTTATCTTTGACAAGTAGTCATTGAAATGCAAAATATTAAAAATTATACAAATTATTTCAGCTTGTGAGTCACTTTCACTTTAATTTAGACTATTTGAACACCTGATATAACTAACTTCGACACTAAACCTATCGACATATGTGTACTTAATTTGAAATTAAAAATGAAGTTAAAAAATAAATAAGCAAAGGACGAAATATAAATTAGTACATCTATTCTTTATCTTGATGAAAATCAATGCTGATTTTAAGGAATGTTTAACAAACCTTATAATAAAAAATTTGTGGAGCGATCATTTGACTAGTTTGGTAGTTTTAGTGTTAACATAAATGTAATCGAATTGTTCATATCAGGTGACTGTTTAATGTAAGAGTATCGTAGATTTTAATTAGAATACGTACTTATTCGATGATCATTCTATGGAATAATTACTTACAATGTTCCAGCAAAACCAGCAGCTTTGTGACGGAGTAACGTGGGCTCAGGTGGTCGACACATCAGGATCAATTCTTGATCTGCTAACATTACTACTCCAGGGAATGCGGGGAACCATATTCGCAGGTGAATGAACCCCTGGTAATTAAAATTTCATTTACTTTTGAAACTTTCATGGAGACACGCGACAAGGGAATTTGGGGATTTGTACATTGTGAAATTTGCAAATTTAGGAATTTGGGTATTTTCATCTTTTGAATTTAGGAGTTTAGGGATATTGGGGATTTTAGGATTTTAGGGATACAGAATTTAGGGTTTTTTTAATTTGAAGGTATAGAGATTAAGAATTTAGAGACTTTTTTAATTTAAGGGTGTGAGGGTTAAGAATTCAGAGATCTTTTTAATTTAAGGGTGTGAAGGTTAAGAATTCAGAAACTTTTTTAATTTAAGGGTGTGAGGGTTTAAAAATTTAAGGAGATTTTAATTTAAGGATGTGAAGGTTAAGAATTTAGAGATCTTTTTAATTTAAGGGTGTGAAGGTTAAGAATTTAGAAACTTTTTTAATTTAAGGGTGTGAGGGTTTAAAAATTTAAGAAGATTTTAATTTAAGGGTGTGAGGGTTAAGAATTTAGAGATCTTTTTAATTTAAGGGTGTGAAGGTTAAGAATTTAGAAACTTTTTTAATTTAAAGGTGTGAGGGTTTAAAAATTTAAGGGTGTGAAGGTTAAGAATTTAGAAATTTTTTACATTTGAGGCTGCGAGGATTTAAGAATTTAGAGATCTTTTTAATTTAAGGATGCGAAGGTTAAGAATTCAGAAATGTTTCAAACTTAAATATTTGAAGCTTAAGAGTACAATTTTTTCAATTTAAAAAATACAAAAATTTAATGATTTATATTTGCATGGACGTAAAATCGTCCACGATCCCTAGAATTCAGAAAAACACTTTACGGTAGCTTAAAGTCCTCAAAGTCAATTTCTAGTACTTCAGAAACCCAAGAAAAGCTAGTTAAAAATAATAGCCAAGAATGCGAGTCGAACGAATGTATGTCTTATCAACATGTAGAGACGAAATCTCGATCGATGACTCACGTTTCTCTTTAGGATGCCGCATCTGGTGAAGTCAGTCACCTTCAGGAAGTAGTTATCTTCCTGAGGATCGTTGGGATCTGGCCTGATCTGGCAGTGAATGTCGGTGAGAGGATTGGCGGATCTGTCGTCGGCAAAGAGCGGTGCACCTCTGAAACCAACTGGCCTTTTGATCTTCGCTGTCAGCAGATCGGCAGCTGATCCTGCGCCGCTGCACTGAATGTCAGAGACCTCGTAATCCTGAGCTACGGTGGCAGCAACCTGAAACAATACCATCGCCATTCATCCACGCCTCAGAGACACCTCTGGACCTCTGGTATGTCTTTTTCTTTTTCTTACGATACTTTTCTTTAACCTTTCTCGAATCTCCTTTCGTGGATTGCTTCGATGTCGAGGTATCTTTGATGGAGTATTGATGTTTGAATCTTGTGATATTTTTTTTTTGGTTATAATGTAAATGCAGATTTATGGAAAATTTAGTTGTCTTCAAATCTGTAATTCCAAAAATCCCCCAAATCTCTAAACTTACAAATTTCTAAACCTTCTAAATTCCAAAACTCTCAATTTGTTAAACCCCCAAATTCGAAAACGCATAATCCAAACTCAAAATTAGCATCACTAAAAATTCTCTAATTATGTACACCGAATATTGTAAAAGTCATCACTATCTAGTATCACGAATTTACTCTAAATAATCACATAAACTGGAATGTCTTAACTGCAATTAAGATTATGCAATTTGATATACATGAACCAGATACCATGCATTATAACCAAATACACATGAACCAGATATGCACTGGTTTATAACTTATTAGCGACCAACATCATAAAATGTACCTAATTGAGCAACTTAAAAGAAGAAATACAAACAATTTGAAACAAAATTACGTTGATAGTGCGATATAGGAGATCTACGGTTTCCTGAGTTTTCTGGCGTAAAGTTGTCTGACGTTATGAATTTAATTTAGTTGTTAGCTAGAAATAAGGAAGTATAAAAGACGCTACATGAATCTGTTTATGAATCAAAGCTGGTATACATCCATCATTATATTCTCGAATCTCTTTGGCATCAATTAAAGTCACTGATAAAATCTGAACATTTTCTGCGATAAACTTTTATCGATAATAAATTATCTACGTAATTGTACAACAGATGCATTTATAAAATCAACGTTAAAATCGTGCGGTCAAAAATAAACAGCAATTAATTTATCCCGGTTCAAGTAGACGACATTGTACCAGACAATAAATTAACGAAGAAAAACAGTATGAAGTGTGTTGATTTCATCTTATCAGTTAAGAGTTGAAGAAACCGTTTCTTAAACCAGGACAAACTGCTTATTTTTGGCGTGTTAAGTTCAGATACGATGTAGGACACGGTATAATCTCAAGCGAAACTGAACGATTTTAAATTGCCATGAAATATACCGCGAATATTGTTATCACATTTTCAATCATTCATTTATTAAATTACGTTGATTATAATGATTATGCTTTCTCGTTGTTTCACCAATTGACATGGTGACATTGAGAATATTGCAAATTTTTCTTAGAAATGCGGAATTCTAGGAATTTTTAGAATTTTCGGAATTCGTCAAGTTTTAGGAATTTGGGGAATTCAGGAAATTTAGAGTATTTGGGGAATTTTCAGAACTTTTGAGAATTTTGGGGATTTTTGGAATTTTACAAATTTGGAGGATTTGGCAAATTTTAGGAATTTAGGGAATTTCAGGAATTTTCGAGAATTTTTGGAATTTTGGAGATTTGGGGAATTTTTGAAATTTTAGGAATTTAGGAAATTTGGAGAATCTTAGGAACTGTCGAAAATTTTTTGGATTTTGAGAATTTGAGGAATTTTGATAATTTTAGGAATTCGGAGAATTTAGGGAATTTAGGGAATTTGGAGAATTTTAGGAACTTTTGAGAATTTTTGGGATTTTGAAAATTTGGAGGATTTCGGGAATTTTGAAAATTTTAGGAATTCGGGAATTTAAGGAATTTAGGGAATTTGGGGGATTTTAAGAACTTTTGAGAATTTTGGGGATTTTGAGAATTTTGAAAATTTTGAGAATTTGGAGGATTTCGGGAATTTTGAAAATTTTAGGAATTCGGGGAATTCAGGGAATTTAAGGAATTTTACGAACTTTCGAGAATCCTGGGAATTTCACAAGTTTTGAGAATTTGGAGAATTTTTGAAATTTTAGGAATCTAGGGAATTTAGGGAATTTTAGGAACTTTCCAAAAATTTTGAGATTTTTTCAATTTTAAGAATCTAGGGATTTGTGTAATTTTAAGAATCCTGGAGATTCGAGGAATTTTTAAGATTTTAGGGTTTGGGGAATTTTAGGAATTTTATGAACCTTGAGAAATTTTGAGATTTGTGGAATTTTTAGAAGTTGGAGGATTTTGGGAATATTAAAAACTTTGGGAATTATAAAAACTTTGAAAACTTTAGAAATTGTAGAAATTGTAAGAATTTTGAAAAGTTTGCGAATGAGAATTTGAAGTTCGAGTTTAAAAATTCAATATTTTGAATATTTAACAATTTGATAATGGAACAACTCAAAAACTTGTCAATATCCAATTCATCAACTCAAACTTTTAAACCCCCTAAATTCCGAAATACAATAAATCTTTAACAAACGAAAACAAGCACTCAATCGTCCGCACGTTTCAAAAAGATAAACTGTAACACCACCGTCGGACACAGCGTTTCTTCATCGAGTGTCTAGTTAGCGCGTTAATTGACCCTGTGCCATCCGAACCATGGTGATTTTCTTAATTAACGCGAGTCACCTCGATCCTCTTCCTCGATACGCGCCTCTGACGTTCGCTCGGTAGTTTATGGGAGTCTCTGCAGCGTTGTGTATAAGTTCGATATGAAAGAAGGTGGTCAACACGCGAGGAGAACAAACTTCAATAGCGAGTAACGGTGTAAAGAAACGCTCTGGTGGTTGGCTAAGTTATTCGTTACATGCGTACCATACAGCCTGGCCATCGTACGGTCAGCCAGACGGATAATCGTGGTACAGGTCATGGTTGTTTCTTGAAGGTAGGTCATTCGAACTTTCGAGGTCACTTTGGACATAGTTGCTCTATCTTAGTTGGTATCAGTTTGATTAGTAAATGGGTTTTGGATTTATATGAATTTTCTTGACTGGAGATTAAGTGGATAGTTAACTTAGGTATTGTATGAGGGATTGATTGATAAGGGCCTCAACTGCTATGATTATTGATCCAGGTATTGTTTGTTAAATGGGTAGTTACTTTATTGTGTAGAATTGTACTAATTTATGCTGTCAAGTTTGGTAATTTGAAAATTTATCAATTTTAAAATTTGGAAGTTCTGATGTAGAATGATTGTATTGATTTATACTCTCAAATTTGGTGACTTGAAAATTTAGGAATTTACAAGTTCTGATGTAGAATGATTGTGCTGATTTATATTCTCAAATGTCACAATATAGAAATATAAAAATTTAGAAATTTATAAATGTGGAAATATTAGATCTCCAATTTTTTAAATTGAAAAGTTCAGAAATTTTATAAGTTTGAAATCTAGAAATGTAGAAACACTGAATCTAAATTTTCCAAAAATTTGTTTAAAATGAAAAAATTGGATGACCTGGAAATTTTCAGATGGAGAAGCTTGAAGTTTCCAATATTGGAAATTTTGAAGTTTTGAAACCCAGAAATTTGGAAGTACAAAAGTTTCTAAATTTTCCTACTTCAAAATTTTGAAATTCGATGATTTGAATTTTCAAATTGAGTTAATATAAAAGTATAGAATATTAAAAATTTGGAAGGTTTAAAATTAAAAAATTATAATTTATCTATTGACAAAGAATTGTAATCCTAATTCATACTAAATTTATAAAAGTCAGGGAGGTTTTGAATATTTCGTGTTTAATCAATTGTGTAATTAATGTAACAACCGTAATTGAACATTAACCGCGTAGTCATTACAGACCACGTAAATAATAGTTCAACATGGCAAACACTATGATAATTAACGATGCATTATTAATTAACTAAAATGTTCATATGCCATCCTTTTAGCTACGCATGTATATTATTATAGCAAATAATCATTCAGCTGAAAATAGATGTTATTGATTTAAAGGCCATCATGTAATGCTGTATTATGTCGAAAATATTTATTATTTCCTTTTGAATCCTAATTAGTTTAATTTATATTGTAAAATAAACTAACGCGGTTTTAGATAATTTTATGCATTTTTAAATAATTTAATGTAGTTTGAAATAATTCGATTTTAGGTACCTTGATGCAGTTTCAAATAATTCAATTTTAAATGACTTAATGTAGCTTGAACTAATTTAATTTTATATAACTTTATGTTGTTTGAAATAATTCAATTTTACATAACTTACTGTTGTTTTAAATAATTCAATTTTAAAGGATTTAATGTAGTTTTAAATAATTCAATTTTAAATGACTTAATGTAGTTTTAAATGATTCAATTTTAAATGACTTAACGTAGTTTTAATATTACTATAAATTTACTGTTTAATACATTTTAATTTTATTATAATTTAATGTTTCATAATTAGGACTTTATTATAAATGTTTAACAGTTTGAATTTAATGTCATCAATTCAATTCAATATCATGTATAACATATATCTATGCATCATATCAGCATACATGCAATTAATGTGTACATATATGTATACACATACATTCATGCACACATACATATGTGTGTATTATATCATCATACATGTAATTAATGTACACACACGTATTCATATACATAGACATTCGTATGCATATGCACATATACATATGTGTGCATTACATCAGAATACATGCAATTAATGTACACACATGTGCATATACACATACATTCGTGCACACATACATATGTATGTATTACATCAATATACATGTAATTAAAGTACACACACATATTCATGTACATATACATACATATGCATATGCACATACATATACGTGTGTATTTCATTAACACACATGCAATTAATGTACATATGTAAGATACAGTATATAATATATATTACACATGAAATTGACTATTAAACTTTTATATTCAGTCAATAAGAACATACTCTCACATTCTGTTGAATATATTCTGCATCATCAAAAATATAATTAATAAGTACGTAATTTATGAACGAGTTTGAACCATAAATTCTTTGTCCAATTTTTCCTAAAATCTTTTTTTAAAAAAATTGTGCTGAAACCCTATTATTTCATAATTCAATCAAACCCTTCAAAATTTTTAATTTTGTAAAATTTGAATCCAAAGACCTCACCAAGGGAATAAA